CACCCACCGTGGCCGGGGTTGCCCAATCACGGACACACGCAGTTTTCTCCGGATCCGTGGCCACCCCGTCCGCACTAACAATATGTCCCAAGTATCGAACGGAGTGTTGCAGTAGGTGACATTTCTTTGGCTTGAATTTCAAATTAGCAGAACGCATTCTGGTGAATACAGCCTCCAACCGCAGTAAATGCTCATCAAATGTGCGGCTGAAGACAATAATATCATCTAAATAAATCAGACATGTCTCCCACTGCAACCCCGTTAATACCAACTCCATCAACCTCTGAAAAGTGGCAGGGGCCGCATTCAACCCCATCGGAAGACAGTTAAATTGGAATAACCCCTGCGGCGTACGGAAAGCAGTCTTTTCTCGCGAGGGTTCGTCAAGGGGGAGCTGCCAGAAGCCCGAAGAGAGATCTAGCGTTGAAAAAAACTTAGCCCCTGACAAGGCGTCGAGAGAATCGTCCATACGCGGCAGGGGATACGCACCAGCCACCGACACTTTATTCAACTTCCGAAAATCCACACAAAATCGCAATTTACCATCCTTCTTTTTAACCAACACAACAGGCGCGCCCCACGGGCTATTAGACGGAGATATAATATCCGCTTTCAACATGTCATCCACTGCCCCTCGAACATGCTCACGCTCAGCCGGACTCATCCGACGCGAGTTCAAGCGGATAGGGGCAGCGTCCCCTGTGTCGATATGATGATAAAGCAGCGAGGTGCGTCCCAAGTCCAAATCGTCCGAGCTAAACACATCCGAATAACTCGATAATAATTTATGAATCGCACAACGCTGCTCGGCGGAAAGGGCCGAATTTTCCCCACATAATTCAGCGATCCAACGATCATCCACCCCTCCATCGTGTGAAACACCACCCACCAGCCCTCCATCCGGCAGATCACTCTGAGCCGTAAACGCCGTAGTGGCATGTGCCACAACGGTACCAGCCGGCACACACACGCTTTCAGTACTCGCATTTAACACCTACAAAAACGGCCGCTGATCTGGACGGACAATAGTTTGCGCCCCCACAAGCGCCAATCCGCCCGTAACAGCGGCGGACGGCGACAGCAAAATCCCAAAAGCACCCTGCCGACCCGGAACCGGCTTCCGATATCGTAAGGGAATGAGCATCTGCGAGCCAGGTGGAATATCAACCGAAACTTCCGATAACGCCTGCACCTGGGCGACAGGAGCCGGTCGCCCCCAGGCAGACTGTAAAAATGCCAATTTCCGGCCCCCCGGTAGTTCAATGCAATTTTCATTGATTCGAATTAGAATGGGCATCTTAGCCAAAAAATCAGTACCCAACAGGCAAGGAACCGCCAGGGACCTCGAAATTAACACAACGCCCGAGGCCGAGACTCCCCCGATAGAAATGTTAGCGTCCACCTGGCCCACGATGCCCATACTACCCCCGTTTGCAGCGATGCAGGAAGCGTAAGCCGGCCTCACGGCCCCCGGTGGGATGTTCAAAAGATGGAATATCACATCCGAAATAATGGTCGCGGACGCACCGGAATTTACCAAAATGCGTACGTCCACCCCTTGGATCGACCCAGGTACAGTGGACGAACCGGTAGCGGCCGCGACAACCCGCCGAGCCAGCTTACGCCACTGCGTTATCGAGCGACAAGGCGCAGATACTGGCCTCCCGTATTTAACAACATCCGCGTCGCACAACAACGGCGATGAGTGAGGTGTCGGGCCTTGCCGGGTGTCTGGTGCGCACCGACTTGCCTGTGCTGGAGGATCTTTCTTTGGAGCGTCCGCTGTCGAGGCCTCCTGCTGGGGCGGACCCGGAACACGGGCCCAGCAGTCCCTGGCATAATGGCCCCGACGGCCGCAGCGGAAGCACTCGACGTCGGAGCGGCGCGCAGCGGGCACCCCGTCCCGACGCGGCCGCACCAGCGGCGCAGCCCGCGGCCCCGGCCCGCTTCGGGCCGGCCACGGAGCAGAGGCAGCCGACAACTCCTTCTGGCCGCTCCCATCCGGCACATACACGGCCTTTGTAGGGTCCCACCCTACGGCACCCCCATCGACGACAGGACCGCCCGTCCACGCCGTGACCTGTTTCCAGCGGCGGAGATTAAACTGGGCGTCCAGACACTTGGCCGCGGCCCGGGACGTGAGCTTTTCATGACCGCACGCCGGCATAGGAATGCCAAGATCTCGGGACAACTCCAACATCTTCCCCAGGATGAGAGGTTCCAGCAGGTCAGGCTCCGTCTCCGGGTAAGCGGCCATAGCGAGTTCCAACACGGCGCCCCTATACGCCACTGGTGACTCCTCAGGTGTGCGTTGCCGTTGCACGAATCGGCGATGGGCGTCATCCGGTGGCTCGTACGCGTCCGCCATTTCATCGAACACCCCTCGCAGAGTCTTCTTCTACGCAGCTTTTATAGAGCGAAAAAAACGAACGGACTCATCATCAAGAAGAGTCGGAAGCACCTCCAGTGCCTCAGCGTCCGTCCACCTTGCTGTACGTACCGCCGCCAAAAATCTACAGGCGAACGCACTCCAATCGCCCCCGATGGAGAATTCTTTGACGGTTGTTAGGTGACGACTGCGACTCCTTGGCTTGCTTCCTTCCGCCGCTGACTCCTCCGGTGGTAAATTCAACAAGGCGTCGCAACGCGGTGTCGACAAGATGGCGGACGACCGTCGCGGCGGTCCCAAAATGGCGGCTTCCCGCTTTCCGTGGTGCGCCACGCCCAAGATGGCGTCTTCGCGCCGCGTGGCCGATGGCGGCGCCATCGAAGACGACCCGGGCTCCTGCCGATCACCACCATCACCTTCCAACGCCGCCCTTGGCGTGACAAGGTCACACAACTGTGTGATGACGTTTTTGAGAGTTGCCAGTTGCTCCGCCATCTGGGTCCATCTTAAATCAGCGTCCTTTGGAGCAGATGGGTCCGACGACGCGGCAACCTCCTCGACACCCGGACCCTCACGGATCTCTTCCTCTGCCGAAGTCAAGCCGACTGCAGGATGAAGATCGTCGTCGTCGGAAGATGAAGCCGACGCCGGAGATGGAATATTCTTTTTCCTCAATTGTTTCGCCATGCCGTTTCACTTCTGACTCCAGTGTAATAAAAGGACTCAGACGCTTCTCTCTGACTTCGTGTCCTTTATTGGGTTCTTGTCTTCTCCCACACGGCACTCTCTTGTAGACACTGTATTTGTAGCCCCCGGCTGCTTACTCTATTGTAGCCTCCTTCCTCTCCCCGCAGACTCTCTCCTTTCTCTATTGTAACCTCCGTCACTCTCCCTGCAGACTCGCTGCTGACTCCCTATGCAGATCCCCGCTGCTTACTCTATATGCAGACCCTCTTGGCTGCTACTCCGTGTGCAGACCCGCTGCTGACTCTGTATGCAGCCCCGCTGCTGACTGCAGCCTCCTCGCTGCTTCGGGTCGGTCACCGCTGGCCGACGGTGCCGATCCTCGCTCCCTCGTACCCGTGGCGATCTCGCCACCCTCCGCTTTCGCCCTTCGTGGCCTCTCTCGTTCCTGGTCCCCCGTCACTCCCTCTCCTCTTCCGGTTCCCCTCCCTCTATAGCTTAACCCCTCTCCCCCCACGTGACCTAACTCCTCCCCTCATGACGTCACCTCCGGAGGGCCGTTTACGCCCGCATTACATCTGTATTCTATTATTTAATTTATTTTCTTTCTACGTGACTTTACCGAAAGAACCAAAGAGTAATTCCTGCAGTCACAAATGCTTCAAATCAAGTTTGAGCAGATATGTACATTACACTTTTTCTCACCGTACGTAGCCAACCAAGACAATCGAAGATAAGAGAACCTTCCAAAAGTGGACCTTTTGGACTTAAGGAGAGCGAGTGGGCTTGAGGAAGATATTTCACAAGAAGGGATGATAGATGAGACGGATGATGGAGTGGCAGCCAAAGGTGTGAATATGTCCTGGAGGACAACCTTGGCAGAGATGGAGCTAATGTACAGGATAAAATGCATTAGAAAAATTCCAGTTGTCTTCTAATTAAATATCCTAGACACTTTAATGAGTACAAATAAGTGTGTTCACGTTCGCAAGGTTTATATATATATATAAGTAAAGCTTAAATTGTGTAAACACAATAACATAAACACGTCCCTTGGAGCAGAAATAGCATGCGCCTGGCAAGCTAGGTTCAAGATAAGGGCAATGCCTCCTTATCCATCATGCCCATTAGTGGCTTCCTCAAAACTCGGAGATTGGCTGGCTCACTTAAGCCAAAGTCTTGAGATGCAACGATCAACAGAGAAGTTTACAAATGTGTAGTGAGTTCAACCGAGTCGCAGTCGTACTCTTTGGAGGCAGCAAATGTATTGATACCAACACAAAGGGGTAACTGCCTCTTTACCAGATAACAACCTGTGGTGGTGGACCACCGGGCTAACTACACCTTCGGGCGTGTCCTCTCCTTTGGCTGTCAATCTATTAAACTAAACTTCTTATATTACCAGGTAGGGCCCACTGAGCTATATAGCTCTTTTTCAGAAGCGACCTGGCCACAAATGATAGCTCAACGAAACGGCTTATCGTATGGAAATTTATAGTAGCCAAATACTCTAAACGCACTTTCTAAATGAGGGAAAAACCGGAGGACCCTGAGAAAAATCCACGCGACCACGGGGAGAGCATGCAAAACTCGAAATATCCAGGCGTAGGGTCGGGGTCGAACCCACGACCTCCTGTATACCAGGCGAGGGAGTTAACATCTCGTGATGCGTCCTGGCCAAGCGAACTTTTCTTTACAATCGGGATGACATGCGATTTGCATTCGTTCCATGATCTACGTGCTCCTCTGCTGTCAGTGTGATACTGAGCATGCATATTATCCTCTTGTGAGATTTCCCTGGACACTCCACATGCGCCCACTACCCTCCAAATGCATATTACTCATTAACAGACACTGGCCAAACATTTCCCCACAGGACCCTCCATACTTGTTTCCTTCTTGAAGATGATTCCAAGCACACATTTCACGTGATGGCCAAACTCCTCTTACCCAAGACAAGTTTATTCAAGGGTACACTTTTACAAGTCCAAAACTCAGATATAACATTAACAAGCGATTTTGTCCCTGTTGACATAGTTTCCAAATTGATTGAAAGTAGGCAATTTAAAATGGGAGGAACAGAGGTAAACCCATTTTTTTTATTAAATTTACACCTGCACAGAAAACAGTAATTTTTAAAAATATTTTTTATCTGAATCCTGTTATAAAACGATGTACGTCTAAATACTAGACTTAAGGCCGTTCAAAAGATTACTACAAATGCACATGGCTATATTAAGGCTGGAATTATTATTCAGCTTACCTACATAGTTTATTGCAATGAACCATTCCAAATTTGTATGATATATTTTTTCAATACGGATTATGTAAAACAAAATACAGTAACGATTCAAAAAAGCTTTCCGTCTTATACAAACGTCACATCTGAAGTCATCCCTCCCAGTGCGGTTTGGGCGACTCGTTTAGATTTCACAGCAATGGGCTGTAGTAGAATGCATGTTGCAAGGAGGCATGGAGGCCCTCGAATGAAGGTGAGATGTCTGTTGTAGACTTGGGTACTGACATTTGCAATCGGGTCATTCGTAATGACTTGCAAACATAATGTAACCATGTCAGCTAACAATGCAGCTGTATCTATGGGACATTTTTGCGCGCATTAAAAAATTATGAAAAACAAGAAGAGGTTTTACCCTTTCTGGCGATGAAAGAGGTGTTAAGATGTTCAAACACCAAGTAGATACCTTTCGCAAGGCATCAAGTCTGCACTAACCACACGTGCTTGTGACAAAACATGCAAACAAACATGCTCTGAAAATAGATGCATTGTCCTTGATGCCTTGTAAAATCTATCTATTTGGTCTTTGAACATCTTAACACCTGTTGCATTGCCAGAAAAGGTAAAATCTATTGTTTTTCATCAACGCTGCTGTTTGTAATTACAATCGATCCCAGCTCTGGTATATTACTTTACATACCAAATACACTGCACGGAATGCTGCATGGATACACAAAAAATACACAACAACGGACTTACAGAAGTTCAGAATGTATTGATACGTGGAACATTAAAACATATATATTTGCGATTTTGCCCTTGGTATCAAAACATTTCCCCTTATGTGGCTAAGATGTTAACAAATCAAATCACCCTCTCGAAAGCTCTTAAGTTCACATATATCACGATGCAGGGCTACTATGCATTTAGTCCAGCCCATCACGAGTTGTAAGCAGTAGCATGCTACAATGAGAACGTCTCCATCTCTCCGTCATGCCTACTATCGTGTTGCAAGCTTGACTGCTCTCGTAAAACACCAACCCCACAAGTCGTGGAAAGCCAGTGTACTACTGCATTGCTGAAAATACAAATAAACAATGGTGTTGGTAGGTGGTGCTTAAAGACATCAGCATTGGGCGACATTTGACTCAAGCGTGCGTGCGTTTCAATGCCATGCAGCAGTAACGCGGCTGTCGCCACGTATACCTGCCGAGAAACAGGCTAGCCACAACGTTGAGCAGGGTGCTAGGCAAATCCTAATCACGGTACACCCAAGTGTCAGCTAATCACCGAGGGCTACCGTCTACTGCATTGACAGGTTTAGGCAAGTCACTTTTACTCGTACTGTGTCAACACATTTGGCCAATAATCTACAACTGCACAAGGAAATGTATTTAAGTAAGATTCATACAAGGCCATGCAAAGTAGTAGCAACACAAAGCATGATGATGTCCCCGACTGGTGGAACGTTCTTTCCTGCCGAGGGGCCCCTGGGAGTGTAATGTCATTCAATTGCTGGCACACCTGCACTCGCCTATCATCACGCAGGATCAATACAATTGCAGCAGGACGAGCCCTCGCTGCCATGCGTCCCACTTGTGCATCGTATGCACACTTCGGCAATGCTCCGATGCCGTCAACTTCAGCCCGAGTACCCTCACAGCACAGCGCACAGGAGTGCGCATCGTGGCAATGCTTTACAATAACAAAAAACACCGGTCCTAATTTTGCTCGAGAAATGTACGTTGCTACTGCACGGGGGTTCTTTTTCATGGTTGGGCCGCAAATCTCTCCTCCCAACGTGCTGCCTGCCGGGTTGTACCGCGGCGTCGTGTGGCACCATGCCCGACATTTCGCTCCACGAGCCGGGAGCTTTTGCAGTTGACGAAGCTTCCGCAGATTCTGAATTCCCCTTACCTGAAGCGACACCTCTAAATCATGAGACCTTGGCACAAACGTGATAACGAAGGCACTGCCTGGGGAACGTCGATCAGGAGCCGCGTGTGTATGGTTCGGCCAAGGCACGAAAGGGCACTTGCGGGACGGTGCCTTTCCATTGCAGCTCGTCGACAGGTCGAGCTCGACCTGGTCCAAGTTCGCACCGCATCGTCCTTTGCAAAACCCAAAACGTCAAACATCGAGCTGTTGCATGCAACAGGGAACGCCGAAATATATTTCTCCCACAATTTTAAGAATCCAAATAACAAAAGTCGCCCGGTGTGGCACAGGCTACGCTGACAACGCCTCTCCACTCCAGTCATTACCGGGGCCTTTTATCGAGAAATAGAGCATACACCAGCATTGTTATAGCAAGGACATTTTCTTTCTGCTCGCTCTAAAGGATCTCTCGCACACTCCGTGACATTTAAATATTCACGTACAGCATCTATATGTGTGCGAGGCAGTGTTAATGGTGACGGCGGTGGTGAGGTGCTTTCGTCCGTGGGCACCAGCGCAATGTTTCCAGTTTGTCTTTTAGATGCACGAATGCCAATTCAGCGTTCTACATTTTATTTGAAACTCCGTTACAAAATCAAACGGGACACAAATACACGTAAAACAAACCATTTCACGACCTGTGTGTAAAGGAATGACGCGTGTCGCCAACGTCTGCATTGCCTACTTGAGGATACACAGTTGTAAGGGCTGAAAGAATGGGCATTGGCAGTGGGCAACATGCACGTGCGGTGTTTTGTCTACGGCATGGGTGAGCGCTGTAATCGGTGCGGGTGCCAGGCAGTGGGCAACATGCACGTGCGGTGTTTTGTCTACGGCATGGGCGAGGGCATCCTAATCCGTGTTGGTGCCACTGCTGCGTTGTGCAGCGTGCGGATTGTTGACTTGGGTCGGTGGGTCGGTCGGCCGCCACGCGGGGGTCATCAGGATGAGCGTGGCTCGTCGGTGCCGTGCGATTGCGTGGCCGCGCTCGCCGGGCTCGGCTTGAAGACGTTCCCTCGGTAAAACTGCAGCTCCTTGATGCTCTCGTTGATGTCCTCCACGGCCCTGGAAGCAACAACACCATGGTCGTCATCATAATCGTCGTCTTCAACACCAAGCTCCATCAGAGGTGTTTTGGTGAGATCGCGTAACTGAGTCGTTAAACCCGCCACCACACGACAGAGCTGTCGCCTGACGAGGCTGGTTGTAATTACCGGCGAAACGTCGTACTGGAATGGTAAATGTTGTGGGTTTACTCTCCAACACACCGGTGTGCTGAACGAGTAACGAATTGGGATGTTTTGTTTACGTGAAAACCCTTACTAATTGGCTGTGTCGGGTGGTGGTGGGTTTCACGACACATTCATATTTACGCGATCTAACCCATAAAAAGCCTCCATTATGGATATTGGTCACAAAAGCCTACGTGTTAAACACCAACTTCATTACTTGGCGACGGTGGTAGATCTGGGGTGAGGAGTGATGGAGCCAAGCCCTGCCATCCCCCTCCCCTTCTGGAAAACATCTTGATCTACTTCATCGTATGGATGGTATTTAAGCCAAAACAATGGGATAACCAGTCAAGATGCATGTGAAGAAAAGAAGCGGGATGTAGACTTCCCAAGGAAAATGAACACAATCAGAACAAGACTCGAGAATATACTCCATGTACACAAAATCACTGTAATCCAATGTATCCGTAAGCGTAAAAACAAGTAGACTAACAAACACAGACAAATCCAGATATACGGTGGCTGATCTCAGTGAATTGGGTCATCATAGAAGGTGGCTTTCCACGTGGGTGGACAGTAGAGCGGTAGGAAACAAGTGTGAGAGTGCCAATTCTAGCCAATTCCGCAAGGATGGAAATTTGCTCCGTCTGCCTCTGCGACACCATCATCACGACAAATCACAGAGACGTCAACCGCCGGTGAGAGGGAGGGAGCTGACATCAAAGCGCGCTGTTGACACAGTGTTGACTGGTCCTGCCAATAGGTTCACGAACCGTGCGCGACAGCGACAGTTTCAGCCGCATGCAGCCACAGCGCGGGGCGAGCGCGCTGGAACACACCCCGGCTGCGTGTTAGCTCTTGCTCTACACCGACGATTCAACGGCAGTTAATGTCAAATGCTGCCGTGGTGGTGCATTGGGACGGGCTAGCACGCTGGGCTTGCCAAATCCATTGGTCACCGTGAGTTTCGATCTCCCACCATTTACACCAAGCAGGATAAATGGGTTGCACTGCAGTCAATGGGCAAGTCATTTGTAGTAAGATAAGGTGTGGATCCTCAGACCGGTTATTGCTGATCACTAAAATGTTGAGCTTATAGAGGTGGGCATGTGGATAGTTCGGAGACGGTAGTATTCAGCTTCATGTTGAACCCTCTGGATAATGCGCGTTGGGGTTTAAGGGGTTCTGTGTCTATGCCCTGGGCTCAAATAGCAAATGAAGGTAGCCTCTGGATGTTTCGAATTAAATCAATGTCTTGGCGCCTCGACGTGTACTGCATGAGATGTGCGGTATAAATAATAAATGATGGTGGTAAAGATGATGAGAAGACAGGGACATTATAATTCCAAGTCAAGACGCAACGCGCACGGCCCCATTATGAGGCACCGTGTGGTTTTCTTGAGGTTCAGCATTAAGAATACCTTCTACGCAGGCAACCAAGAGACACAGTACTAACTAGTAAAACTTAGCTATGTTAAATAATAATACAAACTAATATTCTATGTTTAAAATAACAAGATATATCTTTCAATTTAAAATGAATGTAAACATCTCATATTGTAATTATGAGAAAATAAATCTATGCCGGAAACCGCTGACGATTCACTGTATTAAATATACCATGCACGAGTGCACGTGTTGATGTCTCGACGAGTAACATTGTGGACTTGGACCATTACCGGTGTGTTGCCTTTTTCTTGGGCGTCTTTTCATACTCTTCAGGATACCAGCGCCTGCAACGGGCAACACATCGGCAGCATTTAATGAACCCAGCCAGCCTTTAATCACCCGATAACAGATAACCATTTGGGTACAGCTAGCAAAGAAAGCATAAAACTGTCACTGCAAAAACATACATTTTCCAATTTCACCCGTTGATTGTGTCCCATGCAGTGCAATTCGCGTGATTATAATATATATAAATTCTAATTCTGTGGGTCATTACCTATTTAATATCGGGGAGGTATAAAACGATGGACGCGATGACTGTACTCGCTCCAAGTGATGGTTCACGTTGCCACCCGTACGATACATTAACGCACTAAAAGGCATTTCCCACAGGGTAACGCGGCGATGGGGATAATTGCGCAGGAATTCTCGAGCCCTCATTATTGTGCAAAACGAAAATGCCGAGCCGCCGAGCTCTTCACGACCATTTTCTCAGCGCGCTCCTTGCACCCACTCGCCATGCCCCCTTTTTGTGAGGACAATGATGCGCGTGTGATGAATTGCTTGGAGCTGTCAGCGCTGATCACTTCAGCAGTGACAGCGACCACATGAAGCTGTAAAATGGACTGCGAATGCTGCCCTGGACAACCCAGTGAAAGCACTCAGCCGACGTGACATTTCGGCATTTGGTCGCCCGCTCGCTCCTTGCCCGCCCGCCCGCCCGCCCGCCTACCCGTCCGCCCGCCCGCATAAGAGTTTCCATGTGGGAAGGGAGCCGCTGTGGCGAGCCTCCTATCGTGGGACACACCATTGCAATCACTTGATCTGCTGTATCGCAAAAACATCGGGATAAGCGGTGTCTACAATCTCCGTTGACAGGGCAGGTACAGGTGGATGAGACGCAAAGGGGCCTTGTGCTGCCTTTCACACACGCCGTCAGAAGCAGTGTGACAGAAAATGGAATAATTTACTTTGTAAGGAAACTCAATTTCCACTTTCAAAGCTATGTTGGTTGACATATAATCCAGGTCGCTGGGTCGACTGATCTCCCGACAAGGCACTGAAAACTAATGGCAAGTTTCTAAATTCGCACCCAACAATCAAATGGGCACAGCACAGTTGATCGTGAGGTTCCACGTGGCAGGGCAAAATACCCTCTCCAGGTCCCTCGGGTGGAAGTAATTTAGCCAGCAGCTGGGTGGGCTTGCTATTGCAGGGCTGCACCTTTACCTTTTATATGACGAGCCTTTCAGGGACCTTTATGTATGTAGGTTACACTTCTTTTGCGCTGTACATAGCCAACCGTGCTAATCAGCAGGTGCGGGGGAAGGACAACAAACACAAAAAGCAATTCTAAAGAAATGAGTTTTCACTCACATGCATAGCTCCTTAATCGTGCTGACATCGATGATCCTGTAGTGGAGATGCCTCATAAACTGTGGCATGAACTTGTCCAGAAACTTCTTGTCTGCATGCACCGAATTCCCTGTAGGCACACAAAACAGCAGCAGGGCACAGCTTTTACTTCTAGACGGAACATTGCATTCTAATGTGACTCCTACAAGAGGTACGACTACAATGGAAAGCTGAGCCAAGGGGAACTCATTACCAGGACACACCGAGATCTGCCAAATAAACCCAGTGGGCTTTGCCTGGTAGGTTGGGGATGGTTTAGTTTGTATTTGTATCTTGGGGTGATTTGTTTACCTTTCTTGCACTTTGGCCTCCTATCGTGTTTGTTGTTGTAATGTCCTGACCCACCCCTACTGGACATCTGTGAAAAAAGAGCTTTATAGCTCATCGGATTCCACCACAATAAATAAATATTCAGATTTCAATGAGACTGCAACTGGATACACACAAGACTTGTGTCGTGGTCGTGACCGAATGTATTATTTTACCACAGAGTATACATGAGGCAATGGTCAGGACATTTTTTTTTCCAAGACATCAACCACCATGACCAGGTTGAGCCTGGACTGAGTCCCTGTTCAGCAAATTCTGCACCGCAAGAGTCCACGGCATCTGTGACACCGTCTCCAAGGTGGTGCGTGGCTGCACGGGCCTCCTCAGGGCTCCACACAGCACAGCAGGGTGGTGAAAAAACACAGTGGTGGGCCACAAAACTAGTGGTAGGCACCGCGGTGATTAGATGTTAACTCCAGGTCGTGGGTTCGATCCCGACCTGTATATTTTGAGTTTGCATGTTCTCCCCGTGGCCGTGTGGATTTTTATTCGGGTCCTCTGGTTTTTCCCTCCACATTTAGAAACAATATGCGTTCGAGTATTTGGTTGTTGAAAATTTCCACGAGATAAGCCACTTTGTTGAGCTATCATGTGTGGCCAAGTATCTTCCTAAAATTAGCTATACAGCTCAGTGGGCCTTACCTGGTAAATAAAAAGTTTGGTTTTAAGTTTGTTTTTTGTTTATCCTTCACCACTGCCTCGTCTGCTTTACGCAGTTGCGCATTCAAGCGGAGACCGACAACGCAAAACGAGACCAGACTTCGCCTCGCTCCCTCAGTCCCTCCCCCACGCAGCGCCACCCCGTGCCCCCCCACGCAGCGCCACCCCGTGCCCCCCCACGCAGCGCCACCCCGTGCCCCCCCACGCAGCGCCACCCCGTGCCCCCCCACGCAGCGCCACCCCGTGCCCCCCCACGCAGCGCCACCCCGTGCCCCCCCACGCAGCGCCACCCCGTGCCCCCCCACGCAGCGCCACCCCGTGCCCTCCCACGCAGCGCCACCCCGTGCCCCCCCACGCAGCGCCACCCCCGTGCCCCCCCACGCAGCGCCACCCCGTGCCCCCCCACGCAGCGCCACCCCGTGCCCCCCCACGCAGCGCCACCCCGTGCCCCCCCACGCAGCGCCACCCCGTGCCCCCCCACGCAGCGCCACCCCGTGCCCCCCCACGCTGACCTCTCAACCCTGGAGAACCACTTGACTCAGCCTCCTCTCGACCATCTCCCACGGACCCTTGTTGGTGTCCGGCCTCCAGACTATTCATGGGAAAAATAAAATATATATCTACTTCTTCCCTACACTGCAACAACAACCGCCATTCGCCACTAAATGGCGGTGACGTCGCCAGGGCGCTTGTGCCAGGCGATATGCATTTTAAGGCCACGTGAAAGTGTCGAACGCGCGCTGGCACGGACCCTTGTTGGCGTCTTGCCTCCGGACTGTTCATGGGCAAAATAAAATAGAAACGTACTCCTTCCTTTTGCTGCACAAGCGTATTATTCACTCACGCCAACGTTCAATGTGAGCGTAATGCGGTGACATGACGTTCAGTCTAACTTTAGCTTATTCAGCCCTTCCTTGACAACGTGCTCACGAATTGATGTCGGCCGGTCTTGGCATTCTCCTCTGCAACACCGTGCCAGCTTCCTTCATACAGATCAATCACATTTTCTGCCCAGTAACAAGTCCTCTAGTATCAACAAATAAACATGCCCTTGACAATTTTACGTAAAACGTTACACACGTTTTGTCTTATATGACCCCCACTTTAACGTTGATCCCTCCACTATAAAGTGATACCTTTGTTTTTATGGGTCAATGAGCAAGTATAAATGTGAAAAAAACTCCAAACCAGCTCTTCCTTGAAAAAAAGCGCCCAAGTATCTTGAGGAGCTCTCAATCGTTTCTTAATAAGGAAAGAGAGAATGGTGTCTCCTGGAGCGAGACGGGGCTGTTGTGTGGGAGAGTTTTATGGGCGGTGTCTGCGACTGCTCAAAAAACTGCCCAGTACGTATTTGCACTTGTCACAGGCACCAGAGAAGGCAAAATGGGAGATAAAAATAGAGAGACATATTGAGAGCTTCAATGATAGTGCGGGAGGAAGTGCCCGTGGAAAAAAAAGTCGTTCTGGGCACTGGATCGGTTAAGAGCCATTAAAACGGAAACAATCAGTGCAACAAACGCCGTTCAAAACGGCAAACGGGATGAAGTACACACAAGTCAAAATGTTCCTCATCAGATGTCAGAGGTAGTACTGGGTTAAGCCGAGAAAGTGCTTGGGCAGGCCTTTATCCAGCAGTGGATTGATCGTGGCTGACGATAATCGTGACATCTGTGTGCAAACGTGCATTACCGAGGCAGGGTGTGCTTCTTCTGTCGAGGCATGCACCGTGCAGAATGCAGAACACACAATTCAGCCGGGCAGCATTCGGTCTGTGCAAAGATAGAGATCCCCCATAGAGCCTACACAGGCTGTTGGGGCAAGTGCTATTGGCAAGCACTTATAAAGGCCAGATCACCACTCGAGGGGGTGATGTGGCCAACACCACCACACCCGGGCCCTTTCTGCTTCCCCAGCGCTGATGTTTACACACAGCACCAGATACCAAAACATATAAACGCTCATCTATCCAACTTTAATAGCGCAGTTTGTATCTGGCTTACATGGAATTTTGGGCATTCACGACTATGCTCAAAAACCTTGAAACAATAAAGATAAGACTCATTATGACCGAGTGGACCTAGGCAAGACCCAAGACTGGTTCAGATAATCACACTAATGTTAAATCTAGATTGAAACCTCATTCCTGAAGAACTGCATTTTGTGTTTGGTTTGTTGTCCTTTCCCCTGCACCACCGATAAGCACGGTTGGCTACGTACGGTGTGAAAGAAGTTTAACATACGTACAACATACATACGTAACCACCATGCTACGGCTCCACACAGCCACCTCGACGCACGCGTGCAGGGGCGGCAGGCAACGCAAGCGAGATCGGTGAGCACGCTGCAATGGCACGCAGCTTCGCTAGCCCACCGTGCCTCTCCCTCCCGTGTGTCGCCGGGGACCGCCGCCTCTCCGCCTTCGTGTAATTTAAAGTGCACCATTGATCACGTGCACGCTTTGTCTCGTCAGAACAACGACAATTTGTCCGCCGTTACAGCGGGGTCCCAAAATTGTTTCCGCTGCACTGCACAGCATCGCTCAAGGCTATTAATCTGGAATTCTTAAATCAACAGGGTCAGGGTATAATTTAAAATCCGGCCTGTGATGTTATCATTTACAATTTTTTTCAATGACAAATATACTTGATTCTAGGGGACAACTGTAGCATATACAAGATGTCGAGAACAGGTTGGTTCAGCCACTATTATCAACGTTCATCAAAATGAACATTTTTAAACTCATGTCGTTGTTATTTTAAATTTAGGATATGTTTATAGGTTCATAGTGCATTATATCATATATACCACTGTCATCAAGATATACGATGCATTATAATATGATTGTGTTAGAGGAAATTCTCTCTGAATTCTCATTCATCCTCATCATCAGCCATGGTCAATCCACTGCTGGATGAAGGCCTTCCCCAAGCCACTGCCCCCTCTCACGATCCTCTAATGGAATACTCCACCCAGCACCGGCACACAACGTGATTGCATTCTCTCACGAGCATCCTCCTAATTTATGCAAGGCTGCTCATTTTTATTTTATAAATAAAATGAGACTGTAAAGGGCATCTGGAGAGAGTGCATATCAAAATCCTCCAACGGACTGGCCATAAATACACTTTTATATCTTTCAAGGGCACAACTGCATTAATTGCCAAGAGATGCACGCACACATACAAGCACGGACGTAGCCTGCATGTGTGCGTGCAGGTGGTAGCCTCGTGAATAACTGCGAGCACTGGGTTACAGCACTAAGCTACTATTCCAGCAACCCATGCACAATTCCTGGATATGCACAATGCACATTGTGCATATCCAGGGATTGGCAATTGGTGCATAAGAATAATAGTGAATAATCCTTTGTATTTATCCAGCAAAGCCTCAATGAGTATCACGGCATTTTCAGGAGGGTTCTGCAATTGAATGTTTGACAGAATTCCTGTTTCATGTGGCGGGTAATCCAGGCACTCGGGGATACCAACTTCAAAGTGTGCCGAGATGGATTCCAGAATTAATTAGCTGAACTCCATCTCCTGCCAAACTCGCACGTCGTGGAGTTAGCAAGTTTCACATATCTCTGTGACCCACCAACTCTGTCTTCAAACTTCTAAATATCATGTAGGCCACCAAATATGGACCTAAGCTAATTCTCCCGAGGTCAGTTAAGCATTAAATGAGTACGAGGTGCATTGTGGTAACTTGGGGATTGAGTAACTATTCCAAAAAGACCGAACAGGTGTGCGCAATCAGCACTGCCCCAATGGTCTAAAACTCTAAACGTGGGACCTTTGTCTTTGCGATAGATTAAAAAATGCTGAGTGACGTAAAAAAAGACAAAACGTGAAATGCAGTGTTCCATCCTGATAAATGACAAGTCACTCTGATTCCTCCACCAAATTCGAAGTGTCAGTTCGCCAGGCAGACCCTGCAGGCCACAACAGTTCACTTTCGGCTTCTTCCCTCGCACCACTCCACTTTAGATTTCCCTCCCCATCATCTCTCTTACAAAGTGTTTACAGCCGTGCTCGATTTAAGAAATGTGCTAACTCTGGAGGGGGAATTCGAGGCCAGATGGTCCCCTTTCATACATCTCAAATAAGTTAGCAGGATGGAGGGTCGGGAGGCAGGGACCGAGGATAAGGGGTAAAACCCCTGCAGATGAGACGGGAGCCGGGCTCGGAGGGGTCGAAGGTAAACACTCTCATCCACGTCGTCTCTCAAGTTTTTCTTTTCCTTATTTCAGGCGTGTTTCGTTATGGCCCTCCCTCCCTTACTTAAAAAAACTGCCCCTTACCCCTTTCGGTGGGGACCAGTCTGGTTTGGGGCAGCGTGTTCGTTCCCCATCGATCCCCTGCTTTATATAACCGGTTTGGTTTATGTTGGCAGTGTGTACGTGCGTCACAACGTGATGTAACGGGCCCGCACACTGCCTCGATTAAAAAAATAGAAATGTATTAACTCTTACATAGTACACTTTAAATAGCGCTATCCGTTGCAGGTTACTGGTCATGGGGCCCTGTGCTCAGCAACCGTGATTATTTTTGCTTAAAGCCACTGTTGTAAAAACTTAAAAGTTGGATTCACAACTTGAAAGTACAAGAAAGCAACAGGACCCTGGCCCTGACCCAACAATTTTGGAGAGCCGGTAAATGTTTTTGTTTATTTTTTAGTTGGGTGGAGGGCATTTAGCGTGGCAGGGGGGGAGGGAGCATGCATTGACCTCAGTTTCACCTCGTGAACGGCAATGATTGAAGCACACAAACAACATTTTTATCAGAGACCTCTCACCGTCTTATGCTCCCAGGTTGTGGGTGCATATTGGGCTCAATCTTGACAAATGCTCCTTTGCCATTCATCAAGGAAGAGCAATGCGAGAAGTCAACATTGTGTAATAATTGTGCCGCTCCGTTCTCATTTTGATGGGACCACATGTGTCTCTGCGCACGCAGTATACACATGGGCATATTACTAGAACTTAGCACGTACCTACGGCAGGACGCACAAACGTTCACCGCAGCATCTGTATTTAGAGGCAGTGCTTTTTGCCGAATGTCCTTTTGGACCTCGAATTAGCACGGTTGGCTAGATTCAACAAGTGAATTGATCAAATTCGGACAAAAAGTCCCCAGGCATACAATGGCCTATTCTTACTGAATTACGTCACGGGAACTCTAATGTTCACCATGAAGCAGCAGGTGCGTGGTATTTTATGGTTCGTACACCCGCCAGTAACAACCAGGGTGGCCTGTCGGATTCATACCGCGGACCTCTGCAATGAGTTTACACTCGTGCGAGCGCCCCTAGCAACATGCACACAATTTGATGGCCTGGGGGAAGACGGAAAATCTCTCTTTTTATCTGACAGTATTCCACTGTGACTAAATGGGAACATACAATACAACACCGGTCTGTACTTAAGAATCTAACTGTAGCCGTATCTCAAGGCATATTAGAAGGCAAAATGGCCTTAAGTGTATGACTAGTGTGCACATGAGCGACAGCTGAAGGGCAACACGACTTAAAACGAGAAGCAGGGAAGATATTTACACGCATAAAACACGACACTTGTACTGCAGCTTGACAGCAGCAAACTTCAAGTAACGAGATTAATATTAAACAGCTCAATCTCGTGCTCCAGAAATTACAAGGCATTTAACGTCAACACTATTAATCAAGCATGTGATCAACATAGAGAATCGGAATCAGTATTTAGACTGACGGAGAAATCTGATGAGTTATGAATCTCTTTTTCACAGATGTCCACGTGGGGCGGGGTCAGCAAGTTACAAAAATAGACAATTTAAAAAACGATACAAGTGCAAAATAGAGAAAAGAAAGTCACTCAAATAAATAAAGATAAATAAAGTACACAAGTACAAATTGGCCGTGCGATGAAATCTAGACGTGCTATGAAGGTACTGTGTATAGTTGCTGGAGTTAGTTTCCATAGTAATAATGGTGATTTATTTTGATAGAGCGTCCGAAACATCGCATCTCATCGTAAATGTTTGAAAGGGCACCCCCAGGGGCGGCAGCAGCAGCAGCAGCAGTCCCTGTCTGGACGCGAGGTGACTTAGCACCTGGCCTGCAAGCGGCAGTAGCCTTCCAGTCGGGGGAAAACGATGGCTGTGTAATCCCCAGGTGAATAATTTGCAGGTGATTTTTTTTTAAGTTGACCGTGATGCCAGAACGCAATTGCCTACTCGTGTTTATGACGTTCGAGGGTTATTTGACGTCTGTGATGCAGACGGGGAGTGTTTGGTGGTCAATACACCCTTGGTGATCACCAGGGTGGGCTGTTGGATTCAAAACCGCAAACCTCTGCAACAAGCGGCACACGGACCTACGAGCGCTGGGCCATATCACCGCAGATCTTGCATTGTTTGTATGAATTTTTGTTGAACTTCTTTCGCACAGTACGTAGCCAACCGCGCTAATCGGGGGTGCGGGGAAAGGACAACAAACTAAACACAAAACTCAGTTCTAAAGTTCAAAAAAACCGAGTTTTCAATCGAGATTTAAAAGAGCCATAGCTCCAGTAGCTTCCTAATATCGTAAGGAAGAGTGCGTTCCAGACGGCCGCAGAAGCGCATGTGAAAGCACGCGATGCAGTAACAACCTATCATCATTAAGGTTCACTGCAACACTGTGGAGCTATTATTTCACATCCTTCCTCTCTGGGATTTTTGGCGACAACATCGCCTGTCTGGCGACGCTCCGCTCATTGTCGAGCCGAACGTCTTTGAAGCGAAGAGGAAGGCGGCATCAGCTGAACGCTGAGCTCGTCAAAACACACGGCGGCAAGGGGCGCTCGGACGAGCAGAAACTCGTTGCAGAGGTTCTTGGTTCAAATTCCGACAAGCCGCCCTGGTTATTACTGCGGATTCATGAACCGTAAATACTACGCGCCCGCTGCTGCTGCACAGTGGAAGTTAGCGATCCCGTTACGGAATTCAACAAGAGTAAGCCATTTTGTGCCAGGGGTCTTGGTCCGAATTTTCTAAATTCATACTACTCAATTGGGATTATACATAGGAACATTGGCCACTACTGTAAAACTATTGGACTATGTCTGCAAAACAAAGCCCATTTGTGACAGCCTTGCGCTATAATGGCGCAAATACAAAATGTCCTAAAATAGTATTTATTGACACAATATGTGACAAGGTTAGGGAATATATACTTTTCAATGCAGAGTGATAGCAGTACGAAATCTTATTGTTTTAAATACACAAATGTCGAGCATCGCATCACATGCATCGCGCACGGAACACGAGACGTGTGTCATGCCCTGGAAACATGGACAGCTCTGCATTGCAGATAAACGTGACAGGCCCCTAAACCATCATCACAGCAATTTCTTCTCACCTGAAAAAAAAATATCTTACCTGCGACACCACCAACATCAGCTGGGACAAGTTTTACCGGCACACCGGAGGACGTGAAACACAGCTCACAACATCCGGGGGCCAGGTTCGTTAGTCTGTGCTCGTGAGAAGCCCTCCCACAGGGCAGGGCTATGCAGACAGCTGCTCTCCGACTGCGTCTTCGGATTGTCCCGCGTGTCGGAAGGCACTATACGTCACAAGTTTCGCTCCGCGTGCTTGAGAGCCGCTGCGGCAACCGAAATCGTCTCACGTGCTGCGAGTCTTCGTCGGGAAATGAATCGGCTCATTTGATGAAGAATCGGCTCATTTGATAAAGAAGCTTCCTGGCAAACGGAGCGAATCGTCGGGCATCGTGCTGCACTTGGTATTCGCGGCACGGTAAAGAGAGAGAACGCATCGGGGTAGAGAACCGTACGGCACGACAACGGCCAGGCGGCAGCGGCAACCCCCCGACGCTCACCTGCCAGAGGGCACACTCCGGGGGGCGTGTGCTGCCGAACGAACGACAGCACCTCGTACTCGGCCATCTGGAGCGAAACCACGCTCTCTCGGACCGCCTTGGTCAGTCCAGACTGGTGGGCAAGAATGAGAGACAAAGGGACACGGATCACCGTTAGAGAATAAGCGCAACAACAACAACTAAAGAGTCTACTTGGTGGCCTAATATCCAGTTTCAGGAATCCGGGTATGTAGGTCATGGGGGGCAGACATAGCAGTGAAACAGAAGGATTTCTTCACAAATCTGGCTGTCGCCTGATGATGCTGGTTGTAATTATTGGTAAACGTCGTACTCAAATTGTAAATGTTGTGGATTTACTCTCCAACACACCGGTGTGCTATACTATCAACTAATTGGCATGTTCTGTTTACGTGACAAGCCTTATTAAGTGCCTGTGTAAGGTGGAGGCGGGTTTAACGACACATTTATATTTACGCCATTTAACCCAAATAAGACTCGAGTATGGATTGCAGGGAGACCTCGTGGCATCAGAAAAAAAGCATTTTACATTTTTATTTCCCTGTGGCATGCAGTGGGTCGGCGATGCCAACGGTTAGCATGGGTTCATGCATTAATTCACGGTGTACTTATTTAGATGCTTTTGATGGGGAGTACATTTAAATGCCGAGCTGCCAATTTGCGTTGACTCCTTTGATTTATTGATGAAAATAATTCTCGCTTTACACTTGCCGATGCCATTTGGCCAACCTAATAGGCGTGTGCGAGACCCTGAAATAGTGTTAGTTAAAGCGGGGAAAGTCTCCTCGCTGTGTGATTACAATTTTTAACTCAATATGATGTATAGTAATGACCTAAAATTAGTCTGCCCGTTGTCTGAGAGTAGGTTTCAAGCCACTGACCATGAATAATTAGTTTCATATTTCTCAATAAGAAAGACATTAAATCCAAGTGTATTAGTTAACACTGAACTTCTACTGGCAAAACCGCTCGCAGCGTATTGCTTCATATTTACCCACATATTGCAAATCATCATTTGTTCACGTCTGCTCATTTGTGGGGAAATATTTGCGTTGAAATAAATTGCGAAATTATCTCAGGTGTGGGTGCTCGGTGGATTATTACACCGTAGCGTCGTGAGACAGCGGCATCTTGGAGAGGCCTTCACCCATCAGTGGATTGAGCATGACCGATGATAACAGGAAGGGAGCCATATACACATGTCCGCTGCTTGCACACATTTCTTCACTCGGTAGGTCAAATCTCATCAGCACTGCCGTGCAGCAGATATTAGAATTTGCATATGTTGGTGGGAATTGTTTCAAACGATCCGTGGCTGTACTTGACAGGGGCAGACCTACAGTCAGGGAAAAAAGTATTTGATCCCCTGCTGATTTTGTACGTTTGCCCACTGACAAAGTGGCTGTGTAAGGTGGAGGCGGGTTTAACGACAGCTCGTTACCTGTATAAAAGACACCTGGGTGCCAGAAATCTTTCTGATTGAGGGGGGATAAAATACTTATTTCCCTCATTAAAATGCAAATCAATTCATAACATTTTTGACATGCGTTTTTCTGTTTTTTGTTGTTGTTATTCTGTCTCTCACTGTTCAAATAAACCTACCATTAAAATTATAGACTGATCATTTCTTTGTCAGTGGGCAAACGTACAAAATCAGCAGGGGATCAAATACTTTTTTCCCTCACTGTACGCACAGCTGCTTGCAGCGACAGACGGCGTCATCACGACACACACTGCCGATGCTGCCTCGACTCGGCAGCATGTGCACTCTCGCCCCCATATTTCCACGAGGGAGGTGAAGTGAGCGCCACCATCACCGAGTGCAGGGCTTTCTCTCACTCTCCGCCGTGGTGCCCACACTCCGTTACAAGCAATTTGACGAGCAGGGGGGCTGTTACGCAATAACGCATATTGGACCGAAGATATTTTATTTCTATTCTTTGGGTCTTTCGGTAAAGTCACGTAGATAGGTTCGAATTAATAAAAAATAAAATTAATAAAAACTACGACGTTTCGATCACAACACAAGCGACCGTCATCAAGAGGATCACGAGGATGACGATCGCTTGTGTTGTGATCGAAACGTCGTAGTTTATTTTATTTATTATTATGTTGAACCTATCTACGTGACTTTACCGAAAGACCCAAAGAATATGAATTCCTGCAGTCACAAAAGCTTTAAGTCAAGATTTAATTTCGTTTGATTTCTCCCATGACATCAGCTGGGCAGGCTCCCATAATGATTTAATCATTGGAACATGGGCACAGCGATGATAAACGTACAACGTCCATGCCAAGTGTTTCTGGGATACAGATGTCACCGGGCGCCTCCTGCACTCCACGACACTGCGCAGTGGGAGGTCTTAAGGCTCAGTGGGAGGTCTCAAGGCTCGCGTCATTTCCCCTGTGGATAAAGCGATGCAACGCACAGTAGCCGCATCCAGTTGCACGCTCACGCCACTGCTGGCAGCGGGGCCCCCAGTAGAGGAAGCTCGAGAGAGAACATCTCGAGAGCATTTGGCCTACTCTTCCACACCAGCCAGATATCTTGGAAGAGGTGGCCGACTACCTACAGTGTAACAATTTAAAAAGCTGGGTGGATAAGGCAAGAGCACTAACCATTACACCATGTAAGCATCCTATACGGCCTGTAGCTGTCCCTAAAATCCTTTATGGAGTAAAGAAACGGAGTCACGTGATAATTATCTCCAGGGTGGCACTCGGTCCCACGAGCGGGCGCCGTGAGACTCCACCACCACCACCAACGGGGCAAAAATAACCTGGGCAATGCGTGTGTAAAATCACTCGTGTATCCAACACAGCTGAACAAAGAGGCTGTGTGGAAATTTACAGTCGTAGTAAACAGGCCAAATTAGAAGACGGAGCGGTGACGCAATTCTTACCGAACTGTGCCATGAACCTGCTAACCCCAGCGTGATTCCAGGTCATGGTGAGTGATAATGAAAGGTCCAGGTTTTCCTCCTTCGCCAACCGGCACTGACCGGCACTGGTAAAGTGTGATTAAACAAACCACATGACCAATATGCTGTGGGTGGTCTTCCTTGTATTTAGTCCAAACACACCGGATGGAACGGTGTAATTTGGCATAAGTGTCCGTAAAGGATCACGTAATAATGTCAATGACAGTGACAAATGGAGGATAATGTAACAAGGAATAATCCAATCCATTGACTCGCTAAAACTTATATTGTTTTCACGATCCAACTTTCGAATGATTATATTTTGTCTTGTTTATAACATCTACATATTTTTTTACCAGTCTGATTTATTCTCTCAGCACAGATGGCTACGAACGGTGTGAAAGAAGTTCAACATACATACATCTGTGCTGCTACACTCATTCCATTATCCTGCACACGAGTCGATTAATTTACCTAAGATTTGATTTTAACCAATAAATGGTTACAAATTTGGTGATAAGATATAAACCTCAATACAATCGGCAATAACACCGTGACATTAAAAATATAAAGTAACCCAGATGGCGCAACTCGGGATTAGCGAACCATACATACATGCATGTTTGTATGTATGTCTGCCCTATGTCATGATCATAGTAACGGGTTCAATAAAAACGACATAAAATAAAGTAAATAACAGGCAACGTTTTTTGGCAATCGCCCTTCTTCACAGCATATTAGGAAGCCACTGGAGCAAAGCACTTTTAAATCTCGATTGAAATCAATTTTTTTTTTAAAACTGCTTTTGTATTTAGTTTGTTGTTTCCCACCCCCACCTCCAATTAGCACGGCTGGGTTGCGCAATAAGTTCAGCGTACGAACATACAGAGGCAAGAGAGAGAGATAACTCTCCCTCTGAGGCTCTACCCACGTCAGTAACTTCTGCATGCTGCACACGTAAGAATGTGATTGCAAACCGTGGCAAGCACCTGCCATGATAACCAGGTCAGGCAGAGAGAGCTGTGTGACTGGCTTGATAATCAAGTAATGCCTTGAATAGCTGTATTCAATAAGGTCACTCACCGCAGCAGTGGCAGGACACACCAGCCTGCATTTTAAAGCGACATCAGCGGCAGTATGTCGTGTTAACAGTGCCCACGGGGTGGTGACGTGGAAACGACCACCGCACGCTGTGCAAATGCCCACATTTTAACATGCGGCGCGTGAACAGAGGGCGGCTTGCAATGTGGCTGCTGTCGGCACGCACTGCATGATGTGCAATCAGTCAATCAGGTCCCGCAGTGAGAGCATTCAGGTCTCGTGCCCTTGGGCCTGAGGCTCACAGTGTTCATTCACCTGAATACAGGCGACACGTTATGACAACAATTATTATAGAATTTGTAACGCGCACAGTTTTCCATTCACTCTCGCAGACAGAATGATTCAGAAGTGTGTGATACCACAAAAGAGCTGCAAGGCGGCCAAAACCCGTAGCAACAATTTGCCAACCTCTGTAGTCCTATAGTTTCACGTTCAGCCAAATCAATTAACGCCATTAACGAGTGTTAAATTGCAACGCAGGGTAAGAGGAATTCATGGGGTGTCGGTGCAGCCCGGCATATGCTTCATCACACCACTGACCAAGGGTGCTCAAGAAAGTATCTTGGCCTACTCTTCCACAGTCGCTAAATGCCTTGGAAGAGGTGGGTGCACCCACACTTTGCCCCACCACACGAGATCAACTAATATGTGGTGTACCCCGTTTAGACTTCTGGGTGGACAGAGGCAGTGGGGGTGGTTTTGTAATTGCTTCTGATGATCTCAATGCTTCCAAATGTAAGGTCGAGCTTGAACATGCTCCCTTGCGTTCTCACTGCCAATAGATCCGTGGCTATCCAGTAAAGGTTTATGTGACCAGTGAATTCGAAGCCCTGACTATGCATGTGCATAATAACGGACACAAATCATGGTTCAAATGGTCCAAGACATCAGTGCCACATTATTCACGAGTAAAACAAGTTGTTGGAACTGCTTTAAATTATATAAAGGCCATGATTATTATATCACAAGAAAACCACCGTCATTAAAATTACAACAATAGCATTCTCCTTGACAGCTGAAACCATATAATTAGCACTGTTATACTACTTGCCCAAGGTAGCTATTGGATTGTGTTGAGGATATTTGTGATGTCTGTGTCATTGACAAACGAGATGGCTAATTAGAGCACGCATTGAAGCCTGTGTATATATAAACACGTCTATCGTTTTATATAAAATGCACTGTTGTTGATATCGTGCAGATGTCCCATCTTCATTTTGTTTATCATAAAAACCTGCCATTGTCGCTCCTTCAAGTGACAAGCTATGGCCTCCGACACAGAGCGTAGCACTTATGGCTTTCAACGAGCCCGACGCGATTCCCATTAACGATTTCAATCTCACGACCCGTGGTCGAGTGCCCCTCCATGGTGGATCGGGGAAAGTGCCGAAGAAAAGTGAAGCCCATGTGTCGATGCACATTCCCTCCGAGCAAATGGTTAACCACTAGTCTTTGCGTAACTTTATAAACGTAGGTGCACCCTCTGGAGTAGAATGGTTATTCAAAAAAGCACGCGGATCGCTTCGCAATTATATTAGCTTCAAGCCATCGGAGCGTGGCCAGGTTCTAAATTCAATTTACCTTTACCATCTCTCTCAGACTTCATCCCACAGCTCCATAATAAACACATTCATCATATTGATTTTACACCCAATGCTCAAATAAATGTCCACTTTCTATGCTCCTGGAAAGTAATGTTTATACAACAAACACGAAACAAGCCAATTACAAGTTGGGTGCATCGATATGTAAACCTTTGCAAATTCCCCTTTAAAAACTGATGTAAGAATGCATAAAAATACAATTTTCATTTCCCAGCAAATGGGGACGTGTTCATCGCCCATTACAATCCTACTCCTCTTCTGTCTCCTCCTCCTTCACCACCATCTCCTCCTCCTCCTCCTCGTCGTCGTCTCCCCCACTGGAATTCTGTGAATACTGTGAAACCACCGAACAAAACTTCCCCACACACACTCCTGGTTGTGCAACCTACACCTCATCCATTACTCAGCGTGGTATTTTGATGCAGCGGTGAGACACTTGCCTTCACTTCTTGCATTTCCATGTGCCACTTGCTACTCAAACACAAATATACCTTAGGCGGTGTAATATATCCACAAAACCGTTCTCGGTGGCACTCATATTTATGTATTATTCCAGAAAAGCAGGGAAACATTTCCCTCCACCATAACTCAAGAGTTCTATTTCTGTCAACATAAAATATAACTTCTTTCATGCGTCGAGAGTTTCCCCCTCCCTCTCACAGAATTTGAAAACATTAAGTCCAAGCACATAATGGCAACTGCTTCCAAAATCTACGGAGCAGTTCATCATCAGCAAGTGTTCATAAGAGTGTCGCTCTGCTGCTGAAGGCCACAATTTCAGGTCACCAGCAAAACTATTACAGGAACACGTTACTAAATCAACGAGCCTCCCTCTGCTTATAGACACCAATGGTTTAATTTATGACTCCAAGCTACAATTCTTGTATCAGTGCAGATAGTGCAACGTTGAATGGTGGTAAAGTATTCCTTCGTTATGCACGAGGGTTACGTTCCGGATATGCTCGTGAATAGCAAATTTCGTAGATAATGATATTGGCCGACAAAAACCTATCTTAATGAATTACCTTAAATTAATATGTAAATAAGCCATTACATATATAAAAATGATCATAATACAAAAAATATAAATTGTCTATAATAAACTTAAAGTAATAAAACTAATATAAAATTATTAAATAACAGTTCATAAATTAACTTACTTTAAATTACGATCATGCCGCGCAGTATCAGTAACGATGATGTTGACGACAACGACGATGATGATGGTGATGATGATCGTTATGATGACGTTACCATCTCATCACTTTATCTCATCACGATATCTCCCATCACATTCTCTCTATCATCACTTTCTCTCCCATCACATCACATTCTCTCTCATCACTTTCTCTCGATGCAGTCGTGTCGAGTTCCAGATGCGATTCACAGATAGCCAAAATCAGGGATAGCAAGTTTATGAATAACGTGGGAATACTGTAGTAAAATCATGTAATATGTTCCCTGGACATGGTTCACTCTGTCGCACTTTCCACAAGTTTGTGATGGCTTTGTGCATTTACCGCTCCTCATTCTTTTCATTCCGATGGTTGTCCCAAAATTTTATTTCAAAGCTGTGCCCGATTTCGTTGGTGGTTATTTACTTAAGCTCTCTTCACTGTTTTCACAAATATAAACACAATTCATGCCTTCACTGGAATGAAGCTCAATATCCATAGTGGTGCAAAGTACAAGAAAGGTAAACAAAATTTCGATTTAAAGCTTTCGTGACTGCAGGGATTCATCTTCTTGGTTCTTTCGGTAAAGTCATGTAGAATGGAAATAATAAAGTAATGAAAATAAAACATAATAAAATATTTTATTATGTTTTATTTTTATTATTTTATAAAATATTAATGTTTTATTTTTATTATTTTATTATTTCCATTCTACGTGACTTGACCGAAAGAACCAAGAAGATGAAAGGTAAATAAATCACACGGACACATACAAGTATACAACGCTGAACCACCCCCCATCCTACCAGACAAAGCCCACTGAGCTATTAACTTATTGTTCAAAAGTGACCCGAACACAAATGATAGCTCAATGAAGTGGCTCATCAAAGTAGCCCAATACTCTAAAATGCGTGATTATAAATGTGGAGGGGAAAACTGGAGGACCTGGAGAAAAATCCACATGACCACGGAAAGAGAGACACGCAAACTCATAATATACAGCAGGCGTCAGGGTCGGAATGAAACCCGCAACCTCATGCACACCAGACGAGGTAGTCTACATCTCGCCACCGTGACAGATGGGTAAGTTGCGTGGAGCTTGCTTTAGCGGTGCTCACAACAATTGGAAAAGCATCGGGCGGATAAAACGGTGGAATAACTAAACGTGCCGATGTTTACGGGAAAGGTGCTCCTTCAGAGAGAGTGGAGAGAGCGTTGAGATTGACGTATCTCATTTACAAATCACACTTTACACTCTTGACGCCTTAAAAACCTTGAAGCATGAAGATTTCTTATCATTTCCAGCTGTTGCAGTAAAATAACCTGCTATCTCTCCAAGAAAGTCTTTCTAAATCTGAAGAATCTGTTTCATGAGATTCCTGCACCAAGATATTGAACAGTTTCCTTCATGAGCGTGACTCACTAATAATCAGAACTGAAGCTTTCCCAGCCAAACAGCTGACTGTGAACCTCTTGTGGTAACCTCTACAGTGACATTCAGCGGTAGTCACGTCTCACGTCGAAAAAGAACAGACACATATCTACACTTGTCGCAGGCACACTGTCTAAATAGCGACTCTGGAAGGACATTACTTCTATTTTTTTATACGAAGCAATTTTTAAAAATGTTACCAGGTAAGGTCCACTGAACTACATAGCCCATTTTCAGAAGCGACCTGGCCACAAATGATAGCTCAACGAAGTGGCTTATCATGTGGAAATTTATAGAAGCGCATGTTGCTAAATATGGAGGGAATAACCAGAAGACTAGGAGATAAAACGATGCGACCACGGAGATAACTCCAAATATACAGGCTTCGGGGTTGAGATCGAACCCACTACTTGCTGTATACCAGGCGAGGTAGTGAGCATCTCGTGTCCATGGCACCCCAAACTCGTGTCAGGAATCGAAGCAAGGGCCCCTTCTTTGCTGGGCGGCACAAGTGTTACCACTGCGCCGCCCAGCTGCTGGGAGGCATGCACGTGTGGGCAGTGCCCAGTACCCTGCCGTGGTGCTCCTTGCACCAGGTGGACATGCCGTCGAGCAGCTCATCCGGCTGGTGGATGATCAGGCTGGGCCCCTGCACATGCGTCACACACAGAAGGGTACGGCACGTCTCGGGTCAGCACTTGCGTAAGTAAGCGCGAGTTTGCTTACATCTCGAGCATTGTCTCGTCTTCAGTATTCACGGGAGAATATTAGATGTGTTCCAAAAAATGTGAGAAGTTTCGTCTGTTGTATAACCACGTATTAAGTCAAGTGATTTCATGCTCAAATGAGCATTGAGGTGATGCTAATCTTCCATTTACAGGCCTGAGTCAGTGGTGGAGATTCCACGTTCCTATGGTCAGGGTGTTGTATAATAAATGTCTTCAAGGGCTGGGGCTGATATGACGGAGTGTGTTAAGCACACTGGAGTGGCGTGCATGCCTGTAATCAGCACTATGCAGTTGGTGGATCACGCACACAGCACCGTGTGCACGAGAAGCCCAACCTGCAAGGCCACAAGGTGATCAGCAGACGCCAGTCCGGGAAATAGGTTCCTCACCTATCCGTATGAATATTTAAGTGTTGACGCCTCATCTCATAATGCCTGTGGGTTCTCTGGGTCGATAGACGGCACTGTTAAATTCTATGAATTTACGAAATTATGGTACAAGCACCACATTACTAAAGTTAATGATGTTTTCCATAGGCTCAGCAAAACAACACTATTTTGTATTTGTACGACTTATGCTTTTCCTTTCACGGAGTTGTTTCTATCGAAATTTGTGTTATCAAGCCTCTTATTACGAATAATAAAAGCCCCGTTAACAAGACAGGTTCTGTAAGAGTCTGCGTTAACTCAATCACAAAATACTAATGAAGCAATTTTTTAAAACCGCGTTGTGTAATGAGATGTGACGTGTGCGCGTGTACAAGCGTGCCCTCTGCTCGGCACAACACAGGAGGCTAAAGAGGCTCCTGTGTGGCGGAGTTCAGCATGGCTGCCTACGTGATGTGTGCCGTCTTCTTTAAGCATTTCTGCGTTTTATTATTTTAAACCCAACTGCGATACTAACGGAATTTAAATATTATCACGCTCGTGGCAAAGACAAACGTCTCCGGGAGCCTTCATGCACTGGTGGAAAAACTGTTTCTTTTTTCAAATTAATGTAATATAAGTATGCTAAGGTCTTGCCAGTTTTATACATTTTTGTTCATTTGCAAATGTGATCTTAAGGCTGCTATGATCTGGCCTTTTTGAGATACAACCAATCTATGGGACGTGCTAAATAAATGTCTGCACAGACGTCATGTCCATTGAGCTCCATCGGAAGAGGTGAGTGTGGCAATAATGGAGACTCATCAGGCTACTTATTACAGTGCAGAACCAATAAATGTCAGGTTGTATGCAGTATTCGCCTTTATTTCAAATATCGTGATAATCAACTCAAATGTACTCATATTTGTATACAATTCATTATATGTAGGGCTGAGCAGCCAATTGAATTTCCTTTTACCAACCCACACTGACCAGTGTGGTGAAGTATGGTCATACTACCCCCATCATGGCTGATGTACCAAAACTATGGCCCCCAGTTCCCAGCAGCTCTATCTACCAGCCATTGTGTCTGTGCGAATCTGTCAGTCTATATGCGAGTGAGTGAATCTCGATGGGAGTCCGAGGGTATCTGTGAGTCTGTATCTCTGAGTGTGTTTGTGAGTCTCTATGCAAGTCCATGGGCCTCTATGCAAGTCCATGGGCATCTATGCAAGTCCATGGGTTTCTATGCAAGTCCGTGGGTCTCTGTGCGAGTCCGTGGGTCTGTAGGAGGCATCGGAAATGCATGTGAAGGAGCAGGGGGTGCTAAGAATCACGAGGTACAAACAGGGCGCCTTCTGGAAAACCCCACTCATCGTCAATAAACCATGCTGAAAATGAGCCAATGGGGAAGGGAGTTAACAATTCTGCTGTGGCGAGCCCAGATCTCTATATTTTAATATTCATTTCATTATTTAGTGTGGGTTTCCTGATTTAGAATACCGGATAAAAATTTAATGAGTGGCACAGCCCTCTTTATAATTCATGGCAGAGTCCCATTGACATAACCCATTTGTGGCGTGAGCAACAGTGCCCCCCAGAGTGGAACAACTATAAATTCAACAAGGTTCGAGCACCGCTACAACACCGCTGACACCTACACGATCGCCCGCCTTTGCAATGTCTCCCTTGGAAGCAATTGCATACACATGATACACTAATCCATTCTGCATAATACCTGTATATTGTCATGGCGAGACTGTGGATTTGTAATGAGCAGACATTTTAACAGCAACTGCTCAAACAAGGACGGTTTTAGAGGGATACATTAGACTGTGGTTGCAATGAAAGGTATTGGCTTGTATGTTAAGCAAGTATAATGGATAAGCAATGCAAAACAGAACATACATGCCAAATGACAGCTGCTCTTAAATGCATGTAGCAGCAATTACTGTCAATAATGCATAACATATAGATGGCTTAAATGTTGCATTGGCACAAAAAGCAGTAAAACAATTTGTGGTCTTCCATCGCAGTAGACAGAAACCTTAACTCACTTGCGCAATGATGTTGAGATTGGAGTCGGTGATGACACAAGCGATCTCAATAATCTGATCCTTGTCGATGTCCAGCCCTGTCATCTGAAACACACACACACACAATGCACATTCATCACGGGCACTTGAACCCGGGCCAAACTGCACGTCCACTCCTGTCCTGTAGACCCTGGCAACACCGACATTGCAACCGTGCAACATGGAAGCCGCTCACCAGGAGGCTAAACCTTGAGACACCGCCTCCTTGGGATGCTGCGGATTGTCACCCTATTAGGGGGGAGCAGCACCAAATTAGAAAAGTACAGAAATTACTGTCAATTATACTGGCCTTATGCACAGTGTATTAGAGACATAGGTTATTTTGAAAGCATGTAGAATGCTTTAGTTTTTGGTAAATTACTCAAACTGAACCAATCATTGAGAAAATACTCCTCAAGCCAGGCAATATGTTGATGCAGTCCTATAAAGATCACAAGAGTGCCTAATAGGAGGTAATTTTGCGCTCGAACCACAGCACACATTACCGAGTTGAAAGGGCTAATGCATTCTTTTCATCTATTGCGCACAGTCCAAAACTGGGCCAGAATAAATTAGGTGCACAGAAACATTGAGGATGGGGCTTTGACTTATCAATGGCTACTGGGCTGATGCCATAACAATCTGTTTACCCCAGATGGTAGCACAGGCATTGAATACAAAGGTTATAGACCAGAACCCCAGCAAAGATTCTGTTATTTTTACACATTATCGTCTTAAGACAGACAGGAAAAAGTTTCCCGAGGCCCAAATAGGCTTTTCAAATACTTCTAGTGGATCACACATTGACCTATTTGCTGTGTTATCCCTTCTTTCATACAGTTTATGTAGATGCAGAGCAACTACAATTTCACATTCAGGCGGTCAAGCGAGGTAACTGCGTCAGCAGCAGCGGAGTCTATCATCCCTGTTATGCCTCTTTCGTATTTGTGGACCAGGCCATGCATCGTTACACGTTGTACGATCTGTTCTGGATGACCACAGTCGCACACTACTGGAGAGTTTTCATTTTGTGCATCAGGTATCCACATCTGCCAGGTTGTGTGTGGATGCGGTTTCGGGTGCACCATGAGCATTACGGAAGATCAAAACCAGGGATCTTCTGCATTGGGTCTTTTACAAGGTTTTTGTTTGCGGGTTTATTATTAATACCCCTGTAGGTACCTTACTGCCCAGCAGATAAGGGTCTCATGCAGCCCCATCTATGTGAATCAGAGATATGCATTCATTCATATGTGTAAGAGTTAACAGGCTTTGCACCCTGACTTAAACACAGAACACGAATCACTTTAACCAGCATTACTGCAACAACCAATGTATAATTAATCACTCCTGGGCCACAGACTGTAATGCATCATATAAAAGAGCAAGATGATACATTAATAATAACAGACTTCACGCCAAATTGATTAATGGCTTAGTGGTCATGAGTTGGAAGTTAACAAAATTTGCAATGATAATGATGTGGCCGGGTGGCCCAGAGGTCAGTGCTGAGCCGGCACCACTGAGATTCTGGGTTCGAATCCTGGCAGCTGCCCGTGATTTAACCGAGTTCTCAAGGGCAGCGAGCTGAGGGTCTCAGCTCAGTCAACCAACCATCGCACAAAAACCGAGATGTGAAACTTCGTCTTGTGCTTAATTCTGATGCATGCCTGCTCTGGTTCTGGTAATTAAATTCCAGTGATTGTGCAGTGGTTACCGTGCTGTGTTATGAACCACGAAATCCGTATTGGATTCCCAGCCATGGTCAAAATCATTCGCAATCGATATGAGATCGTCCCTGCCCTCTCCCAGATTCACCTCCTCGTACTGACCGGCATGGTGAAGATTTAACAAAAATCCCCATGAGCGCCATAGCATGGGGAGGCCTTCATCATCCATTGTATCAACAATGGGTTGAATATTATTATTTTACTGGTAGGAACCACCTGGTTCCACCAGCCCACAGGGGGTTATTGTGTCCGTCCGTCGTGCACCCAAAAATGGGAGGGGTGGGGCTGGGTGGAGAGGGGAGGGTGGGGAGGGGCTGGGTGGGGAGGGTGGGGCGTAGGGCTGGGTGGGGAGGGAAGGGGAGGGTGGGGAGGGAAGGGGAGGGTGGGGAGGGTGGGGCGTGGGGCTGGGTGGGGAGGGGAGGGGCTGGTCACCCCGTGGTGCCCTTATAAAACTCAACGTTTGACCTACTCGCACCGGCTTGTGCCCGCCCTCACAGTCGGCCATATTTGCGGAATACACCACGCCGCCATTGTCCCTGGCCATTGACCCTTGCCATTGACCGAGCAACCCAACGTTGCTACCAGCTCCCTCCGCAGGAATGTGTTTTATACTGGGGATATCCTTATTTCATGCAAACAGTTAAAACACCTCACATATTTTGCCGGATGAAAGGGAGCTTTGCTGCAGTTTTAATAAAAAAAAACACAACAAGATGTAATTTGTGACAAGCACTATAAACAAGGGACCGAGAGATTATTCTCAAGCTGCAGCAGACGATGGAATCAACAACGAGGCTGCAAGCAGATCATTCCCTCGTGAAGGTTGCTGCAGGTTTCAAAGGGTGGTGGCCACGTGCTGGTGCCGTTGTTTGTGGATAATTCCAAGACACCTGGGCACCATCTCTGGTGTCAATGCCTCCCTCGTCTCTCCACGACAATTACCAAAGATATTTAGAAAATGGATGGCACAATTATGTCGCGGATATTACATCGCTTGATTTATCATAGTCCTGCGATATCGCAACCTCCCTATCTGCGGCCCACGCATTCGCGAACAACACTGTCCACACAGACTTCTCGCGATCGGCCATTGGAACTGCTTCATCAACGACATTGGAGGGAATGTTGTGATATATTGTTAACAGTGGCCTTATAAACGCTATGACTCACAATGGAGGCAAGTGACAGTCGGAATAAGCAAGGCTTTTATTCTCGAGTATATTTCAGTTTAAATATTTCCAGTAAGCATGGTATGTTCTTGTAGTTTGTGTTTAATGTAGTGCCGCTTACGATGGCAAAGGTTTTTATTTAGTGCTGCCACTGCAGCACTGCTGACGAGTCTCATAACCGTCAAGCCCAGCCTGCCGCGCACATCGTGCTCCTGAGCGTGCACGAAGCTATCCATTACTGCTGGGTTCTGGCATGAACGCTACTCGAGCATGAAGAGTGAGATTTTACCAAGGCAAGCAGTCGGGACCCTTTGAAAGCCGGCCACAACAATCAATGTCGCATTAACGAGTTACGTTAATGCAGCATTGATTTTACGCACAGTAAATAATTACAGGGGGCATCGTGGCAGAGTGGTTAGTGCACCGTACTATAAACCCAGTGACTGGCGAGCGATATTTTAACTGTTCTGTGGCCCCTTTCATCAACACGTAGTGACCTGCATGGTGAAGTATGATATGAAAAACCATGACAAACACGGTATAAAGGGTTCTTATCCAGCAGTGGATTGACAAAAGGTTAAAATCAAGATGAAGCACTAATCTCTTGTTTCCCAATGCAACTAATGTTCAAGTTGGTATAATCATGGATGCACTATTCTAATTCATATATGCTCACATCATACACACAGATAATGTCGATGGTTACCTTCATGGGAAAATTAATGATACATCTAAACACAGCGGATCTTCAGTTGCAGTGCGCTATGAAATAAGGCTGCTTAGTAACAGCATTTGGTGGGCAACACTGACCCCCACTGACAGATTGTGGAATTGCCAGGTCACGACTGAAGAACGACAGAACGTACTCAATTCTACTAGTCAGTTGATGATATCGAGTACTATGTTGCTGCTACTCATGCGTGTGGTGAACAACATCTTCATCAGCTATGGTCAATTCACTGCTGGATGAGGGCCTCCGCCAGCTGTTATCATCTCTCACAGTCCCATGATGTAACAATCAATATAGCTTGTGAACTCGAGCTGATTTCATTGCTCCATCTCCGCAGTACGGATCATCTCGGGCACGTTCCCACCCTTGACTGCCACTCCGTCATTAGTCTCGACCATTTAGATAAAGATATTATTTTTTATTGTTCATAAAAGTGTGCTGGATAAAGCTAATGCGGATTTCTAAGCGGAATAATTATTGATGTTGGAACATTTTTTTTTGCTTCCGATTACTTAAAAAACTGAAAATATCCCAGCCGACAATAGTGACATGCAATATAATTACCCTGAATCCTATTTAAAGCGATGCACACTGCACGGGTAAAATTTGACGTTTCCATCAAAAGTTGAGTTAAAGCCAATACACTAGAATTTCTGTGATGCAATATAAACCGTAATCCATCAACACCTCCAGTCCTAATTCACTAAAAATGGATTAGATTTCAGACGAATTAGATATATTGAAGCAGCTTCAAACTGACGGTGCAATGAGTTTCAAAGACTTAACTGAATGCAGTAAGTAGTAATTTTCCCCGACAATGTATCCTATTGATTCCTGGTTAGCTGACTTCATTTGACAGGAATGTCCCTGCCTATTGCAGAAATGTCACCAGACCGCATGATACTAGCCAGCTGGCTGAATAAAATGTCACATTCTGATGTTAGTCGTCTTAGCTCCATCTGTGTCTGGAACACAAAATGCACAGGTAATAAAAACAAAATAATATTTGAAAACATTATTTCATACCTATCCTCTCATGACGTGATGCCGACAGCATGATTGCAATTACACTTGGGAAATGGAGAACATTGATACAACAACGAACACTGTCTCGCTGTGTGTTTCCTCGGAATTTCCATGAGCCACAAATATTTGAAATGTTTCACATCAAGACAGAATGACTCTGAAGTTTAAAGAGTGTCTCAATTCGTGACGGCTTCTCTGTACAACCCGTTACACGTTGGCATTTCGGTGATGTGGATTGTACGATGCCACGCACACAATCAATACAGCGGCCATCACCATCATTAGCCATGGTCAATCCACTGCTGGATGAAGCCAACCCCAAGCCGCCTTCTCACATGCTCCTGCGACGTAAATAATCCACCTCGCATCCCGAACGGATTTCCTCGCTCCATCTCTTCAACACATCCAACTCACCCGGGTATTGAATATAAAATGACTTGCACTGTTACCCCGCGGTTGGTTTAATCGCACCGCCACCTACATCTGTCGCTAGTTGCTGCCCTTCCGTTTGGCTCTCGTCTTCACCTCGTTAATCGTCATCTCTTTCGACCCATTCTTAAACATGTTTCATCAACTACTTGGTCGCACCTCCGATGAGCACGGTTGGCTACGCAGGGCGCGAAAGAAGTTCCCCACACCGCCACGTGCACACAAGCGCCTGTAAAGCCCCGAGACACTGTATGAATGGGCATAGTACAGCTCACAAGTGGTGGGGTAAAGTGTGGGTACCCCCCCCACCTCTTGCAAGACGTCTGGCCAGCAGCGTGGGCCAAATACGTAGCGAGTACAGAGGCTCTGTCTATTCAGCCAGAGGCTCTATCTATCTACTCAGCCAGAGGCTCTATCCATCTACTCAGCCAGAGGCTCTATCTATCTACTCAGCCAGAGGCTCTATCTATCTATTCAGCCAGAGGCTCTATCTATCTACTCAGCCAGAGGCTCTATCCATCTATTCAGCCAGAGGCTCTATCTATCTATTCAGCCAGAGGCTCTATCTATCTACTCAGCCAGAGGCTCTATCTATCTACTCAGCCAGAGGCTCTATCTATCTACTCAGCCAGAGGCTCTATCTATCTACTCAGCCAGAGGCTCTATCCATCTACTCAGCCAGAGGCTCTATCCATCTACTCAGCCAGAGGCTCTATCTATCTACTCAGCCAGAGGCTCTATCTATCTACTCAGCCAGAGGCTCTATCTATCTACTCAGCCAGAGGCTCTATCTATCTATTCAGCCAGAGGCTCTATCTATCTACTCAGCCAGAGGCTCTATCTATCTATTCAGCCAGAGGCTCTATCTATCTACTCAGCCAGAGGCTCTATCTATCTACTCAGCCAGAGGCTCTATCTATCTACTCAGCCAGAGGCTCTATCTACTCAGCCAGAGGCTCTGTCTATTCAGCCGGAGTTCCCCCTAGTGGAGAATCTTTCGCAAGCATGTGCAGGGCTGCCTCTCTCCCCCAGCAGCGTTATGGCTTAGTTCTTATTATTATAGCATCAAGATTGATTTCAGCCAGCCTGAAGGAGGGGGATATATTTTCCGGAATTCGGCCCCGGCTGCAATAAAGCACTGGTGGTCGTGGTGGTATTTGTAATCTGTGGAACATGTTATATCATACTCATACCGTACGACGCAGAATTGTGTTTGTAAAGAAAGGTCTGGCTAAATCGGGAGAGACAGTCAAATACAAATAACGTCGGGGTTTATCGTTGTAATTATAAACTGCAGTGATTTCGTGATCCTGTATTCGCCTAGGTAAATTTGCAGCAGGGCTGGACATTGCCTGCTCACACCACTGTCGTGTGAAGCTCCTCCACAAGAGGGAGGACCCCCCCCCCCCTCTCCTCATGCTCTGTATTCGGCCTACTCTTCCACGCGCGTTCGTCCCTGCGATGGGGGAGGCGTGAATGAGGCCCCCGGGCGCCCTCTCACCTCGAGGTCCACACACACCACGACTCTCCATCTCGGCCTCTCCCATCCAAGTCCACACACACCACGACTCCCCATCTCGGCCTCTCACCTCGAGGTCCACCCACTCCACGACTCCCCATCTCGGCCCCTCACCTCGAGGTCCACACACACGACTCCCCATCTCGGCCTCTCACCTCGAGGTCCACACACACCACGACTCTCCATCTCGGCCCCTCACCTCCAGGTCCACCCACACCACGACTCTCCATCTCGGCCCCTCACCTCGAGGTCCACACACACGACTCCCCATCTCGGCCTCTCACCTCGAGGTCCACACACACCACGACTCCCCATCTCGGCCCCTCACCTCCAGGTCCACCCACACCACGACTCCCCATCTCGGCCCCTCACCTCGAGGTCCACACACACCACGACTCTCCATCTCGACCCCTCACCTCCAGGTCCACCCACACCACGACTCTCCATCTCGGCCCCTCACCTCCAGGTCCACCCACACCACGACTCTCCATCTCGGCCCCTCACCTCGAGGTCCACACACACCACGACTCTCCATCTCGGCCCCTCACCTCCAGGTCCACCCACACCACGACTCTCCATCTCGGCCCCTCACCTCGAGGTCCACACACACCACGACTCTCCATCTCGACCCCTCACCTCGAGGTCCACCCACACCACGACCCTCCATCTCGGCCCCTCACCTCGAGGTCCACCCACACCACGACCCCCCATCTCGGCCTCTCACCTCGAGGTCCACCCACACCACGACTCCCCATCTCGGCCTCTCACCTCGAGGTCCACCCACACCACGCGACTCTCCATCTCGACCCCTCACCTCGAGGTCCACCCACACCACGACCCTCCATCTCGGCCCCTCACCTCGAGGTCCACCCACACCACGACCCCCCATCTCGGCCTCTCACCTCGAGGTCCACCCACACCACGACCCCCCATCTCGGCCTCTCACCTCGAGGTCCACCCACACCACGACTCCCCATCTCGGCCTCTCACCTCGAGGTCCACCCACACCACGCGACTCTCCATCTCGACCCCTCACCTCGAGGTCCACCCACACCACGACCCTCCATCTCGGCCCCTCACCTCGAGGTCCACCCACACCACGACTCCCCATCTCGGCCTCTCACCTCGAGGTCCACCCACACCACGACTCCCCATCTCGGCCTCTCACCTCGAGGTCCACCCACACCACGACCCCCATCTCGGCCTCTCACCTCGAGGTCCACCCACACCACGACCCCCCATCTCGGCCTCTCACCTCGAGGTCCACACACACCACGACTCTCCATCTCGGCCTCTCACCTTGAGGTCCACCTACACCACGACCCCCCATCTCGCCTCTCACCTCGAGGGTCCACCCACACCACGACCCCCCATCTCGGCCTCTCACCTTGAGGTCCACCTACACCACGACCCCCCATCTCGGCCTCTCACCTCGAGGTCCACCCACCCACGACCCCCCATCTCGGCCTCTCACCTCGAGGTCCACCCACACCACGACCCCCCATCTCGCCTCTCACCTCGAGGTCCACCCACACCACGCGACTCTCCATCTCGACCCCTCACCTCGAGGTCCACCCACACCACGACCCTCCATCTCGGCCCCTCACCTCGAGGTCCACCCACACCACGACTCCCCATCTCGGCCTCTCACCTCGAGGTCCACCCACACCACGACCCCCCATCTCGGCCTCTCACCTCGAGGTCCACACACACCACGACTCTCCATCTCGGCCTCTCACCTTGAGGTCCACCTACACCACGACCCCCCATCTCGGCCTCTCACCTCGAGGTCCACCCACACCACGACCCCCCCATCTCGGCCTCTCACCTTGAGGTCCACCTACACCACGACCCCCCATCTCGGCCTCTCACCTCGAGGTCCACCCACACCACGACCCCCCATCTCGGCCTCTCACCTCGAGGTCCACCCACACCACGACCCCCCATCTCGGCCTCTCACCTCGAGGTCCACCCACACCACGCGACTCTCCATCTCGACCCCTCACCTCGAGGTCCACCCACACCACGACCCTCCATCTCGGCCCCTCACCTCGAGGTCCACCCACACCACGACTCCCCATCTCGGCCTCTCACCTCGAGGTCCACCCACACCACGACCCCCCATCTCGGCCTCTCACCTCGAGGTCCACCCACACCACGACCCCCCATCTCGGCCTCTCACCTCGAGGTCCACCCACACCACGACCCCCCATCTCGGCCTCTCACCTCGAGGTCCACCCACACCACGCGACTCCCCAGCTCGGAAGCCGCCGCCGCCGTCGCAGCGGAGTGGGCCGCGCTCCTGCGGGCGTGGCGCGCGAATGGAGGCGCTTGGGTCTCCCCCTGCCCACGCGAAGCGGAGACGGAGGAGGTGGACGAGGTGGAGGAGGTGGAGAGGGCGCCATGGGGAGCACTCCGACTCGCCGCCGCCGCCGCGGCCCGCGCAGTCATCATCAGCACCGCAGGACGCATCGGCGAGGAATCGATTACCGGGAGTCGACTGCGCTAGAATCGATAGCACGCCACGCGGCCCCGCCCACTCCTCCCCGCGTTAGCGAGTGCGGCCCGAGCGGCTCGTGGGGGAGGAGGGGGGAGCGCTGCCGCGGGAGTCGATCCTGCGCGCGGCGACTCCTCGCTGAATAAAAAGAAGCGATTCGGAATCGACGGCCTCGCGTCGCGCGCCACGTGGTGACTGTCAGCTGCGGAGAGCTCCGCACATCGCTTGCAGCTCTGAAATTGGCGAAACTGTCAATTGGATTTTTTTCTCTCTCGGAGAAAAAAAATGAATGAAACATTTAGGTCGATGTAAACATCAATAGACTTTACGCTCAATTTATTTCCAATATTTTTCTGTAAAAAAGGACATAGACAAGTAAGCAGAGAGGGGGGGGGGGTTAGAGAAATCAGCATGTCAATGAGAGACCTGGCGCAACAGCAGGAAACAAAACAACAACACGAGGGGAGACAGAGAGAGAGAAACCACACTAAATCAAACAAACTTAGTGACATTTGGAAATGTAATGCAATGCAACACAGAGAATCGGTCAACACACAATTGACGCATGGTCTGGTTGATTACGTTCTCCCAAAGATTGCTAAATTAGAAGTTAAGTGTGAAATTTGAGAGACCAAACACAGACACGGAGACACAAAGACAGACACACGGGCAGAGAGAGAGACACAGAGAGAGACACACAGAGAGAGATACACAGAGAGGTAGACACACACAGAGACACACAGAGAGGGAGACACACAGAGACACACAGAGAGAGACACAGAGACACACAGAGAGAGACACACAGGCACACAGAGAGAGACACACAGAGACAACACACAGAGACACAGAGAGAGACACAGAGAGAGACACACAGAGAGGGAGACACACACACAGAGAGAGAGACACACAGAGAGAGACACACACAGAGACACACAGAGAGAGACACACACAGGCACACAGAGAGAGAGACACACAGAGACAACACACAGAGACACACACAGAGACACAGAGAGAGAGACACACAGAGACAACACACAGAGACACAGAGAGAGAGACACACACAGGCACACAGAGAGAGAGAGACACACAGAGACAACACACAGAGACACAGAGAGAGACACACACAGGCACACAGAGAGAGAGAGACACACAGAGACAACACACAGAGACACACACAGAGACACACACAGAGACACAGAGAGAGAGACACACAGAGACAACACACAGAGACACACACAGAGACACACACAGAGACACAGAGAGAGAGACACACAGAGACAACACACAGAGACACACACAGAGACACACACAGAGACACACACAGAGACACAGAGAGAGAGACACACAGAGACAACACACAGAGACACAGAGAGAGAGACACACAGAGAGACACACAGAGACACACACAGAGACACACAGAGAGAGACACACAGAGACACACACAGAGACACACAGAGAGAGACACACAGAGACACACACAGAGACACACACAGAGACACAGAGAGAGAAACACACAGAGACAACACACAGACACACAGAGAGAGACACAGAGAGAGAGACACACACAGAGACACACACAGAGACACACAGAGAGAGACACACAGAGACACACACAGAGACACACAGAGAGAGACACACAGAGACACACACAGAGACACACACAGAGACACACACAGAGAGACACACAGAGACAACACACAGACACACACAGAGACACACAGAGAGAGACAACACACAGAGACACAGAGAGAGAACAAACTTAAAACCTCACCGTAGAGGTGGTTCAAACTTGATTTGGCGCTTTCGTGACTGCAGGAATTACCACTCTTTGGTTATTTCGGTAAAGTCACGCAGAGAGAGAACATAATATCTAAGGCCTCGACACAGAGGCGTCGTTTCTTTGTGTCTCTGTGTTGTCTGTCTCTGTGTTGTCTCTCTCTGCTTGTGTCTCTGTGTTGTCTCTCTGCTTGTGTCTCTGTGTTGTCTCTCTCTGTGTGCCTATGTTGTGTGTCTCTCTCTACTTGTGTGTCTGTCTGTGTGTCTCCCAGAGCCGACCTTTGGGGGCCCTAAGCAAAATTTGGTTGGAGGCCCCTTTGATGTATGATTTTTTTCACCCACGAGCTAGCAGTGACTCTAGGGGGGGGGGGCTCTGCTGGCCACGGGGCCCTTTGCAATTGCAAGGGTCGCTTAGTGGCTGGGCCGGCTCTGGTGTCTCCTGTTCTGTGTTTAATCTCTCTCTTAAATTTAGCAATCTTTGGAAGAACGTAATCAACCAGGTAGGGTGGTGACGGCTGTGTTAGCCGACTATATGTGTTGTATTACATTATATTTCTAAGTTTACTAGGTTTTGTTTTCTCTTTCATTTGTACCTGATGATGATTGCTTGTGTTGTAATCGAAACGTCGTGTGGTATTATTTAATTCATTATTTTCTCTTTTAACGTCACTTTACCGAAAGAACCAAAGAGTGGTCATTCCTGCAGTCACGAAAGCGCCAACTCAATCCTAGATTTGAAGCTTTCGTGACTGCAAGGAGTCATACTCTTAGGTTTTTTCGGTAAAGTCATGTAGGTAAAAAAAATATTAATAGAAATAAAATAATAAAATGAAAATTGATAAAAAACATAAGAATAAATGAAAATAAATAAATTTCATTTTTTTTATTAAATAATAATACAAATTATATACTACATTAAAATATATCAATTTTCATTTATTTATATTTTGAAATAAATTTACATTTATTGTTATTTTTTCCCCTACGTGACTTTATTGAAAGAAGCTAAGAGAATGCTTCAACTACTTGGTTCTTTCGGTAAAGTCACGTAGAAGGGAAGTAATAAAATAATAAAAAATAAAACATAATAAAATAAAAGAATATAATAATATAATATATATATTTTTATTATTTTATTACTTCCCTTCTACGTGACTTTACCGAAAGAGCCAAGAAGATGAATCCCTGCAGTCACGAAAGCTTTAAATCGAAAAATAGAATGCTTCAACTCAAGTTTCGGTCACGTCACGTGTTTAGTTTTACGACAGCCCCCCCCCCGCCTTAACGCTTTACGACCACTGCCATTGCTTTACGACCAATGCAGCTGCTTTACGACCCAGGCTTTACGGCAGGCTGAGGACCCTCATGGCGGCGCGCGTTCTGTGAGGCCTGCGTCGCAGATTCCCCGCGCGCGGGACGACGACGACGAGGAGGAGGACGACGAGGACGACGACGACGAGGAGGACGATTTGGTGGTGGTGGTGAGAAGCCGGAGAGAACGCGAGGTAGACCCGAGGCGGAACATGGGCTCGAGCGACGATGTGGACCGCTGCCTCTTTGTGGGCAACCTGGACCCGCGCGCCACTGAAGAGGTCCTCTTCGAGCTCTTCCTGCAGGTGACGACCCTGGAGAGGTCGATTACACAAAGCCGCCGCGTTGTTGTCGTTGTTGTTGTTGCTGCTGCTGTGGTGGTGGTAGTGTTGGGGGGGCCCAGGGGGAACCAACTCGCCCGAGCCTGTCGCTCCGCGGGCGCGGATCATCGTGAGAGGTGGGGGGAGATGTCCGCTCCTGCGCGGTGTGCCGCGGCATTGAGGATGTGTTATCTACTCATCATACACACGCTGTTGATGGTGTTGATGTGTTATCTACTCATCATACACACGCTGTTGATGGTGTTGATGTGTTATCTACTCATCATACACACGGTGTTGATGGTGTTGATGTGTTACCTACTTATCATACACACGCTGTTGACGATGTTGATGTGTCTTCTTGGTTCTTTCGGTAAAGTCACGTAGAAGGGAAGTTATAAAATAATAAAAATAAAACATAATAAAACAATTCTCACGACGTTTCGGCCACAACGCAAGCAGCCGTCCTCAGGTGAAAACCAGGTCCGTCGAGGCGACAGAGTCTGAATGAAACAGCACACGAGCTTGGAGCATATATATAAGCTGGGCGCATTGACAAAGGAATTTGCATATCAAAAGGAATTTAGCATATTTATGAGAAATGCAGGAATGTGATTAGTACTGCATATGCATGTGCATTATGCAGGATTAACAGCATCAAAGGGAGCTGCAGTTTCTGCTGCTGCAGTACTAATCACATTCCTGCATTTCCCATAAATATGCTAAATTCCTTTTGATATGCAAATTCCTTTGTCAATGCGCCCAGCTTATATATATGCTCCAAGCTCGTGTGCTGTTTCATTCAGACTCTGTCGCCTCGACGGACCTGGTTTTCACCTGAGGACGGCTGCTTGCGTTGTGGCCGAAACGTCGTGAGAATAGTTTTATTATGTTTTATTTTTATTATTTTATAACTTCCCTTCTACGTGACTTTACCGAAAGAACCCTGCAGTCACGAAAGCTTTAAATCGAAATTTGATGTTGATGTGTTATCTACTCATCATACACACGCTGTTGATGGTGTTGACGGTGTTGATGCTTTATTTGTTTTAAAGTTGTCGCGCCACTGAATTCGGCGCAGGAGAAAACACGGCCGCGAAGGCCACGATCATTCGGGTTCGCGTATCATCGGAGGTCGCATTATTCTACTCTAGTCATAGTAATGCATAACAACACGAACAATAATTATAGGAGCAACTGTTCTGCGTGCAGGTAACGCGCCCTGGGTACGACACTAATGATTATTTATATGTTGAACTTATTTCGCATTCATAATCAACGTTTTTGGGTTTAGATCGCGTTTATTTATAAATGTGTCGTAACCCTCCACCACCCGACACGGCCAATCAGTAAAAAAGTGTCACGTTGACAAAGACAAATAGTTCACTGCTTTAGCCCACCGGTGTGTTGAAGCCACAACATTTACAATTTGAGTACGACGTTTCGCTGGTAATTGCAACCAGTATCATCGGGCAATTCGCCAGAATGGTGAGGCTCTGCTGTGTCTCCCGTTCTTATAGAGAGCAGCAGCAGGGTCGCGAAAGCCTACGTGTTAAACTTCTTTCGCATTGTACGTAGTCAACCGCGCTAATTGGAGGTGCCGGAGAAGGACAACAAACTAAACACAAAAAGCTGTAAAGAAATAAGTTTGCAATCTGGATTTAAAAGTGGTTAATTTGTGGAAAGCACTGTGTGTGTAATGAACACACAAACACTTTGTATAAGCAACGGACGTGATCAAATACAATATCAACGGCAGTTATTATTATTGAAAGTTGATTCATCAATCAACTCGGAATATAATCGCCTTTAATGGTGATGGCCAATTAAATGATCATCGGCATCATCAAAATTGGCAAAATAACCACAAACTTCTAAATGGTAACTAATAGAAAATATACGAATAACATCAATATTATTGATATTCTTTTGGTCTTTCGGTGAAGTCACGTAGATGGGTTGAAAGAAAAATTACTAAAAACTACGACGCTTCGCTTGCAACACAAGCGATCGAAACGTTTTTAGTTATTTTTAGTTATTTTATTTCTACTTATCTACGTCACTTTACCGAAAAACCCAAAGAATATGAATTCCTGCAGTTACGAAAGCTTTAAGTCAAGAAATAATGATAATAGGGTTTTCCCCTTTTTTCTGGCAATAAAACAGGTGTTAAGATGTTAAAACACCAAACTGAAACCTTTTACAAGGAATCATGTCTGCATTAACCACAATACTTGTGGACAGAATACAAACAAAAAACACACTGATAATATATGCATTGTCCTTGAAACTGATTGGTTCACACCAGAGACGGCTTTCTTTTTGGCCTAGTCCTCTGGTCTAACACATATTTCCTTTTAAAAGGTTTCAGTTTAGTGTTTTATCATCTTAACACCTGTTTTGTTGCTGGAAGGTTTGTCACGTGAACAAAACGTGCCAATTCGTTACGAGTACAGCACCCCGGTGGGTGTGTTGCAGAGTAAAACCCGCAACATTAACAATGATGCCGGTTGTAATAATTACTGGCGAATCGTCATACTCAGATTGGAAACGTTGTGTATTTACTCTCCAGCACACCGGTGTGCTGGAGAGTAACGACTTGGCCATGTTCTGTTTACGTGACAAACTTTACTAATTGGCTGTGTCGGGTGATGGCGGGTTTAACGACACATTTATACTTACACGAACTAACGCAAAAAAACCTGTATTATGATGAATAATTACTATTGCTAAAATATTTACCGTACATAGTTATACTCGTAATAAATAGTATTTTTGCTTGTTTTGCCACGCTCAAGTTGAGTGAGCAGTCGAGAACCGTGATCATGATTTAAAATTGAATGCCCTCACGCTATCCCTATTTTGATTGACACAATTTTCTAATGATGATTGGTGATGTAAATGCTTTGAATTAAAGTACAAAATATGTGCGTGTTGAATACGGTCTCGCGAACTGCACTGTTGTCCATATGCGCGCATTGTTATAGAATTTCATTCTGTGTTCCCGTCTTTCATACTGTATAGTACTTAATGATCGGAAATTCGACAATTAAACACGTTGTACATACATATCGCCTTGTTTTAAATGGCATTTGACGACTTTGCACGAGGCATGATCGTTATTCTAATTGTAATAGCCGTGATGCGAGATATCAAACTTTTATTACGTAAACTGTTGTGTAGCAATGCGCAGGCTTTCACTTATTGTAGGGTCAAGGGTTGACATGGGTAGCAAAGCCATCATTGTCATCTCTACAGGATCATACATAAATTAGTCCAAAAAAAAGCTTTTCAATGCACGTACTTTTATTTGCACTCTAAAATACAGAATAAATTATTTAGACCACGGAATTAATCACATTTGATGTGCTGAATTAAAGTGGGTGGCTTGCATAGAGAAAATGAAACATCGACAAACGTGTTATTTTTCCTGCATTTTTTTCGTTTGGAAAAAGGCCTCGGGCATCGTCAGGAAATAAAGCCGAGAAGTACAGGAGTTAAAGACAAGTAGTGTGTGGTGAACACTTGAGATGATAATTAATCAACACACAACTTAACTCAGAAAACCACACTTGGATCAGAATCATCACGAACATGATCATCTAAGTAATAATACGCTTGTTAGTGTGCGTTTTTATCTGTGATGGCACGAGAGATTGAGGTGAAGTGGAGGGGAGTTGAGATGCTGGTGTGTTGGGTATAGGACAACTGTATCGGGATCAGAATATTTATTTACTCTGGAGGAATCCGATGAGCTATAAAGCTCTTTCACAGATGTCCAGTAGTTTCACAAATGCCCAGTATGATGACATACAGAGACTCGGGGGTGGTGAGGACAAGGGGTTGATGACATTAACCAACACGTTACTTTCGTATACTCGAGCTGCGATATTGTTCAGTGATGTTATCACGTGTGCGTTTCCTCCGCGCATTCTGATGAGTGCAGGCGGGTCCCTTGGTCAAGGTGTGGATTGCTAAGGACAAGGATGGCAAGCTGAAGCAGTTTGCCTTCGTAACGTTCAAGCACGAGGAGTCGGTGCCATACGCCATGAGCCTCATGAACGGCATCCGCCTCTTTGGACGCGCGCTCAAGCTGCAGTATCGCACAGGTACGGTCTCCCAGGCAGACGGATGTCTCGCCTCACTCCTATGGACTGGGGCACCACGGTGGCAAGATGTTAGCTGCCTCGCCTGGTATGCAGGAGGTCGTGGGTTCAATCCCGATACTGACGCCTGTATATTTGGAGTTTGCATGTCTCTTTGCCTGTGGTCACGTGGATTTTTCTCCAGGTCCTCAGGTTTTTCCCTCCACATTTAGAATCAACATCACGCGTTCAGAGTGTTTTGGCTGCTATAAATTTCCACATAATGAACCACTTCAATGAGCTATCATTTGTGGCCAGGTCACTTCTGCAAAAGAGCTATATAGCTCAGAGGGCCTTAGCTAGTGAAATAAAAAATAGCTTAATAGTCTAGATTTGAAGCGTTCGTGACTGCAGGAATCCATATTCTCTGGTTCTTTCGGTAAAGTCACGTAGGTAGAAGAAAACATTATAAAAGAAAACACGACGTTTCGGTCGCAACACAAGCGTCCGTCTTCAGGTGAGAAAATGATCTGTTGTGGCTTCATATCGGCACGGGAGGTTGTCGTCCGATTACTAATTCGAGCTCCTTTACTTGATCATTTCTCCAGCCCCATCCTTCCCTCCCCCTCTCCCCCCTGTGACAGCCCCCACCCTTCTCTGCACGCCACAACCCTCGACTCGACAACCCCCCCCTCCCTTGCCTATGTAAAGCCACACAACAGCAGATAGTTTTCTCACCTGAAGACAGACGCTTGTGTTGCGACCGAAACGTCGTGTTTTATTTTATTATTTTTTCTATCTCCGTGACTTTACCGAAAGAACCAGAGATTATAATAGTTTAATAGTTTAGTTTTGAGGGAAATGAAATGCAGGACTTCGTACTCCTCAATTTCAAACCTGCCATAATAGCGAATTTTTGCAAGTTTATATAATTATCAGAATCTTTATTTATGCTGGAGGAATCCGATGAGCTATAAAGCTCTTTTTCACAGATGCCCATTAAGGGGCAAGTCAGAACGATACAACAACAAACAATGCAACAGCACAATAGTGCAGCAAAGTATAAGAAAGGTAAGCAAAGCACTTAGAAATATCCAAATAAAGCTAAACTATTTCTATCTTACTCTAAAGTGAAAAAAACTCAACACATTCATCAACATCAATATCTCTGCTATGAAGGGATTGCAAAAAATGTATTGTTTTATGTAATGTTTCATAAGAAAGGAAATGGTATTGATGAATTGTGAGTTTTCTTATTTGTGCTTTTGCATGACAGCCAATGTAGTCTCGTTATTTATTATAATTTTCCCCAATTTTAAGGCTGCTAGTGTGTCCGAGACAAGCAGTTTAAATATTCAATTGGGTGGTGATAACACATGGGAAACGAGTTTTGTGTCGGCAAAACATCTCCATTTGTGGATTTGGCCTATAGGAGTGATTGATTGCGGTGGGACTTTTGGGAGACCCTGAAAATATTTGCACCATTGATTGGTTCATGCCGCCTTTGGGCTGTGGATTGCAGGGAGCACTCATATCAGTGAAGAGAAGGCAGAGCTGTGGGGAACCGGTCACAAGCAGGAAAATACCAACGGAGCAGCCAACCCATCTCTCAACAGGTGAGGCTCACCATCTAACAATGGATAAATAAACACATGATGTATTACAAACAATATGAACCAAATATTGTTTGTTCTTTTGCAAGAGCGACCATTACACCAACAATTGTCAACTTATATCTGCTGGATCATGTTGTCATTTACACATTTGCAACAGGAAATGTTCAACGTGGACAATGCGCTAATGTGGCCGTCTGGAACGCTCTTCCGATATTTGGAAGCCATTGGAGCTGTGCACGTTTAAATCTAGATTGAAAGATAATTTCTTTAGAACTGCTTTATGTGTTTAGTTTGTTGTCCCGCTACCGCACCTCCGATTAGCACGGTTGGCTACGTACGGTGCGAAAGAAGTTCAACATTCATACAAATGGCCTCATGTGTTTTAACACAGTTATCATTTCCAGGTACAATGGGAACCCAGCCAATGGAAATGCGCTGCATCCATCGTACTTTTATCAGATGCCTTTGTCAAACCCTGCACAACACTTGCAGGCTTCGGTGAGTAACATAACTGCTGATACTTGGGTACCCTTCATATGCCGCTGCAAAACTTGAGTTTTTAAGACTCGGCTATGTGGCTCGAACGACTTAGTATGTCTGCTATGTGTGGGATTGTCCGTGTTGTGGGTAGCAGTTGCGCACAATGGTCAAATTGGCACACGGACATAATCCTTACGTCATCAAGAGTTCTAGCCACGCACAACACGAAAGCCAATTGGCATTTGAACATGGCATAGACACGGCCTCGAATGAATACCAGGTCCAGTGGTGTTGCCACTGTAGTCACTAGTGGAGGGTGTTGTGATACCCCCAAGTACCTGGGTTTGCACACTTCTGTGAGATATACAAAGATATTCTCTGCCTCATTACATGACACCAGTGCCACATTTGAAATATATTTGGGAGGGAGGGGAGGGAAAGTGCAAAGGGGGGGGGATATTAACAAGAGTATATAATTTATGGTTCTCGCTCGACCATCCCTTGATATACTGTGTGGTCTTAATTTGCATTGCTAACAACACTTTTCCTTGACAACAAGACTAATTGGGGGACCGTTGTCCTTTCTTCTTTTCTCCAGGTGAGCAACTTTAACATGCCTCAGTCCAACAGGCAGCAACATGCTATTAGCTACCCCCTACAACACCTTCAGCAGCAGCAGCAGCTGCCGTCGCAGGCCGTGCTGGCCGAGAATGAGGCTCGTTTGTCGACCAGCGGTGGTGGCAGGGCCGTGGGAGTCGGTGAGCAACAGAGACGGAATCCCTCCGACGCTTGGGGATGGCAGAGAAACCAGTGGGCCCAGCCTGGACCCTTCCACTACCAGCAGCAACATCATCAATCATACCAGCAACAGCAGCAGCATCCTTATCAGCAGAGGCCACCATTTCAGCAGTGGCGTGGACCTATGTACTAGGTGGATGCATGTGCTTAGGTTGTAGCGAGCGTGTGGAGTTAATTTGTTAACCTTTGCCGCGTGGCTACTGAGAACTGCTGTTTCCAGGCCTTTCTTCAGCCACAGACAGGCGAAAGACCGCTCTTAAAAAATGTAAACAACTCAGGTGAGAGCATCTTAGTTTCACAGTTTTGGGAGCTTTTTCCATGTCATAAATACCGAGCTCTCTGTTAAATACCTTCGGCAGCTACTTGGAACATTACAGATTTTGGGAGGATTTTTATTTTATTTTTACCCAAAAAAAAAATTTCGTCCAAAATGTGATGAATTTTCAATAGAATTTAAGCATCTAGTAAGGTTTTTTTTGCTGAATATTTGGTGTGATATCCTCCTCTTAGTCTTTAACCTTTAATGTTCAGCAGAGTTAAGTGATGCTAAGCTCGCCGCTCCACATACAATACCAATGCCCTCTGCTCAAGAATACGACCCAACAGTACAGCAGCATAACTCTAGATGGCAGCATCTCTGGGCAGAGGCTGTGGTTTGATAAATCTTGTGTTATTCAGTGTCATACAGGATATTGTATTCAGCAGCTGTGTATGCTGTGCAGTCACCCTCGTTTGGTTGTGTATGTCTCCTATGGAGGGGTGGTACACAAGTGAATTTGAGAATTGCGGTGATTGGCTATCTAAAATTGGTCTTCCCCTGTTGACCACGGTGCAATTCCCCCAGTGTGTGCAAGTGCACATGCAGTTGACGCCGATAACGTTGGCAGCATGTGTGACGAGCACACAAAGAGCTGACACCAGCTCTTGGTGCCCAAGCTTCTGGCAACATTTGTTATTTTGGGAAATGAACACCATTGAGCACCTTAATCAGGCCACACACAACCCTAAGATGCGTTTTACTGGAAGGGGCCTGGGACGCTGCATTTTATTCACACTCGCTTGACAAAAAACCCAGCCAAGCCTGCCAGTTTAAAAACGTTTTATGCAGCGGACTTGCTGTTTCACACTTCCATGCCAGAATAAGTACGTGGCTGTGAACTGTTGGTATCTTGTAGAACACAACTTTGTTAATTTTATACAGTTTATGTACAAAAAGTAAAAAAAAATGTGTACAAATGTACAAAAATGTCGGGTTGTTTTTTTAAAAAATTGAGTTTGAATACAAACAGCAATGAGAGGGGAGAACCAACGTTACATCAAACTCAAAACGACTCAGGAACCTTTTGGGCGGAGGTGTTTTCCAGAGGATTATTTTCAAATACGCCATTGATGTTGAGTCATACTTGGGCATCTTAAATTAAATAAAAGCCAGCATGGAGATGCTGTTTTTCATTTTATTTGAAGTCATAGTTGATTGTGTACAGTGTTTAAAGATGGTTTAAATTGAAAAGAGGAACGTGACAGCAGTATTCTTTAAGTGTTGGTAATTTGTAGTTTTTATCATGCAAGGAACACGTTCGAGTCAATTTAAGAAGACCATTTTTTAGTTTGACAGGGGAATTCCTCAAATCGTCACATTCATTTTAAAATATTTACTACCCATATTTTACTCTAAACAAGAACATACATTGTTTTTTTAAGTCGATATTCGATGTGTTTTACCACATTTTTTGGAAAACAATATGACCATAAAACGATATTTTAGCAAAAAAAAATGGAGATTGTGATTTTATTTGATACATTCGTTTCCATTTTCTTGATAATTAAGCTGGTCTATTTTGTCTGCCATATGTGTACTCTCATCTTTGCCGCGAGTCAGAAAGAAGAGCGACTGGAGCCCCATGTATTCACAAAGAACACGTTGAGGTTTAGCTGCAATGCAGAGCCTCGGCACGCTTGGGAGTTAATTTCAATGACAATTGTAAATCACACACGTTGGGAAATAACGTGATAGAATCCTGACTTAAAGCTTTTGTAACTGCAGGAATTCATATTCTTTTGGTAAAGTCACGTAGGTAGTAGTTTCAAAGAAAATAACAAATTACTACGTTTCGATCGCAACACAAGCGGTCGAAAAGTCGTAGTTTTTTGTTATTTTATTTGAACCTATCGATGACTTTACCGAAAGACCCAAAGAATAAGTAACGTGATGTAAGCGTGTTCGGGCGTGTTGTGAGTTAACAATGCTCCGTGATTGCTCACTTGCAAGCGATTGGTCTTAATTGGCAGTGGTTCATTAAATAGTTTTAATTCGCAGCGGTTCGCTAAACTGTCGGATTGTGGAAGTGTTCTTTACAGTTTTTTACTTATTAATATCAATACCATAGATGAAAAAGAAAAATTGTTAGCAGTTTTAATACAACTAGTTGTTTTTAAGAAGATATTTTTTGTGTATAAACTAGAGAATTTGGTCATGGAAAAACAGTTTTGTTAAACTTTACCTTATAGTAAATGTAAATTTTTAGCTTGAGTCTATCCTGTTATTTTTGTTACTGTTATGTGATTTAAATACAGATTTCCATATTTTTATGCAAATGTATACAGTTATGAATTCAAACTTGGTTGTACTACAATGGCCAGTGTCATCTGAGAGCTGTAGCTTGCATTAAAATGTATCCATATTCACACCTGCGTGCTACCTGATTGAGTGTTCATTTTAACCTTGTCCAGTCCATGGTCTCTCACGCGTTCTCTCACTTGGCTGCCAGCCCCATTGTCTCGACCACCAGATAATTTGCACGAAAATGTGTTTTGAAAACCCATCCGTTTGTACCAACAATGTCTCAAGTACATTATACTGGTACTGAACCTCCTGGTTACAATAGCCCACAGGGGATTATTGTGTCCGTCGTGCAGGGAGGGGCTGGGTGGGTAGGGAGGGGTTGGGTGGGTAGGGAGGGGCTGGGTGGGGAGGGTGGGGCTGGGAGGGAGGGGCTGGGTGGGGAGAGGCTGGGTGGGGAGGGGCTTTTCACCCCGTGGTGCCCTTATAAAACTCAACGTTTCACCTACTCACGCCGGCTTGTGCCTGCCCTCACAGTCGGGCATATTTGCGGAATACACCACGCCGCCGTTGACCCTGCAGGCCATTGACCGGGCAACCCGACGTTCCTACCAGCTCCCTCCGCAGGAATGTGTTCCCCGCAGCAGCGTCATCCAGACCGATGCCCCAACTTAAAACAGCAATAGTCGTGTTAGTCCACTGTTTGGAACTTTCTGACCCGCCCCTACTGGACACATGTGATGAAGAGCTTTGTTTCTCATCGGATTTCTCCAAGATGAATACATATTTTGGAATGTAATAAGACATGTCACTGTGCATGTGGTTACTTGAAGATACTGTATAACTCATGCGTGTATTACATACCTGTCAACCCATACGGTTTACCCGTATTCTTGTACAAACTGAGTTTTCAGGCCCATTCGGCGTACCTACAAAGTCCATGGGACTACTTATGGACAAAGTCCATGAGCGTTGAGAGTTGTAAGGGTACGGGGTGACCAATAAGGTCTGCATTGGTCTTTAATAAGGTGGGCACTGATAAGGGGTTGACAGGCATGCCATTGCAACGTGACATATGCATGCTCAAGTTGCCTGCAAAGTACGCAACGGACCAGCTTTGCTTCGTCATACATGGCAACAGGAATGTTATTTGTCTCTTTCTCTGACCCAGGGGTTTCTGACATTTCACAGTCACGTCACGCCAAGCTAAATGTGAATGTCATGCTGGTGTGGTGTCTGGGTGTCGTCAGATTGCAGGGGACAAGGTTCGTAAGTCATAGGTGTGGTTATTTGTTGTTGTTATACGTGACATGTCAGGGTGGGTATGTAGATGTGTACAAGAGGACATGTTTATTTTAAACAGCATTTTTAAAATACATTTCATGAATTGATCCGTTTCATTTCCAGTTTCATTTCCACGTGCTTTTTAAAAACAACATTGAGATCAACTTCAGAACCTTCTGGACTCGCATTGCGTTTTCCAACAGCATTTGTTTAAGCGGGCACATTCTTAATCGGTTTTGACTTTTATGGGCCTCATCAAGTGAGTGCCTGTAACCTATAATTGTATGAATGTAGATGTGTAGGCATGGCCTAGTGTACTGGTGGCCCCTGGTAACCTCTCGAGCGGTCCCTGACGTGAGCCCCCAAAACAATCCACAATGTGACAACACCCCCCACCATCAGCTTGCTGCTGTCAACCCCCCAACGGTTCTAAATGTGTGGCGACCCTCACGTTGATATTTATGAGGACACGGGGTGACCAATAAGGTCTGAATTGGTGTGTAATCAGGTAGGCTTTGAGAAGGGGTTGTCAGGTATAGAGACGGAGAAGAACGAAGAGGAGAGGGCGGGGAGGGAGTTAAAGGCCGTGAAACCGAGAGGAAAGCGAGAGAGCAAATCTAAAGGAGAGCGAGGGGAAGTGACAGGCAAGCCAGCTGCGAAGGGCATGGAGCGAGACGTCACGGCGGCCATGTTGCACCGGGGACTCGGTGCACACAACGGCGGCCATGTTGCGTCGGGTTGGTTTCCTCGCGGCTGATTGGTTGGTGGGGCGGGAGTGATGACGTAATCCCTAGCAACCACTGAAGCTGCCTCCATCTTTGCGAGGTGGCTGCGGCACCGCCACAGATAGTCGTGGGCTCGTGCACTGCACACGCACTGAGAGCGAACGTGAATCACTGCCTGGTAGGATTTACGCGTTGTTTACTGTAGTAAATAATATGCACGGTTAGTAAACAATGCGTACATTTTAAATAAATAATGTGTAAAATTGGAATATTTTGTTGCTATATATTTCCACACAATAAGCCACTTTGTGGAGCTGTCATTTGTGGCCACGTCGCTTCTGGAAAAAATAAGTGAATAACTGAAATCGGTTTTACCTGGCAAGATAAAAACAATAGTTTAGTTTTATTTTATATTTTAAGTTATTTGTTAACTTTTCCTATACTTTGCTCTCCTATCGTGCATGGCTGTAACGTTCAAACTCCGTGACCCGACTGGATATCTGTGAAACAAAAATAGCTTTGTATAGCTCATCCCTGATTCCTCCTCGCAGTATAAATAAATAATCTGCTTCTGCGATGTCCAAAGACCTTGGTCTGGGGCTCACCGCGAAGCGTGCGAATGGGCGGGGCCGACAGGCGGGTGGGGCGTTTTTTTTCTTTTTTTTCATTTATTTGGAAGAGCCCTGTGAGACATTCGGCTCTTGAATCGGGTGCAACCGCAACAAACAAAAAACAAAACATGAACAAGAAAACATCTAAAGTGACTATGCGCAAACAGAAAAATCCAGGAAAAAGCAGCAAAAATCTTCCAGAAAAAGCACCGTACACCAACGCTGTGTGCAAAAATACCAGCGGGATGCAAGTCAAACAACAACAACCACAAGACAACTTAGATTCAAGCCATCATTCTAACTCCGTACTACAACAAACAAACATGGCCATACCAAAAAAACTTTTCGAAATCACCAAATTTCACAATAAACGACATTAACAAAATGTACGAGACGGGGCGTGTTTTCAGACAATGGGTGGGGCCCGCAGGTTGAGTTGGGGGCGTGGTCTGCGAGCGAGTGGGCGTGGTCAGCGAGCGAGTGGGCGTGGTCTGGGAGCGAGTGGGCGTGGTCTGGGAGCGAGTGGGCGTGGTCTGCGAGCGAGTGGGCGTGGTCTGCGAGCGAGTGGGCGTGGTCTGGGTGCTGGTGGGCGTGGTCTGGGAGCGAGTGGGCGTGGTTTGCGAGCGAGTGGGCGTGGTTTGCGAGCGAGTGGGCGTGGTCTGCGAGCGAGTGGGCGTGGTCTGGGTGCTGGTGGGCGGTGCTAGAGGCGAACAAAAACTGCGCGCGAGCGAGGCGCCGGGCTGAAGCGTGGCGAGTTTAAGTCTCGCTGGCTTTGGTCTCTCAAGTTTACGAGAACAACAACAACAACAACGTCAAGCAGCAAAGTGAAAGATGAACTCGACTGACTACAAGGAGCGCACCTTGTTCGTAAGCAATGTGGACCCGCAAGTGACGGAGGGTCTGCTGTACGAGCTCTTCCTGCAGGTACGAGCTGCTGTGTTCTGCCGATTCGTGGCGCGTCTCTTACACCACGAGCCGCCTCGAGTCTCGTCCACACCATGGGCACTTGCACAGTGCGGCAGCGTTACCACGTGTTGTGTTGTCTACACGTGTTGTCTAGACCTGCTGTCTGCAGTTCAACGTAGTCTTGAGATCGTCACGTACAGTCTATAATTCATCACCACAGTACTAGGCACACTCCAGTTCACTTTAGTCTATAATAATGAGTCAACATCGACCACCTGTACAGCCGAGTTCGCTTGAGAATCCATCGTGCAGTCCACCACGAACGCACCGGCTGTCTACACACACGGAGTGGGTCTCCAGCAGGGCTCCGTGCGGCTTGCCCCGTGGTCTTGTCGAAGTAAAGTGAGTTTGTGATGGGACTTTGTAGATGGACGGTGAGATGTAGAAGGGGCACGGGGTGATCAATGAGGTCTGGATTCGTCTGTAGTAAAGTAGGGGCACTGAGAAGGGGTTGACAGGGTTGATTATAGACAGAGACCCATAGATACCCATAGAGACCCATATAGATACATAGAGACCCACAGATATACACAGAGACGCACAGAGATACATCGAGACCCACAGAGATACACAGACCCACAGAGATACACAGACCCACAGAGATACATCGAGACCCACAGAGATACACAGAGACCCACAGAGATACACAGAGACCCACAGAGATACACAGAGACCCACAGAGATACATCGAGACCCACAGAGATACAGAGACCCACAGAGATACACAGAGACCCACAGAGATACACAGAGACCCACAGAGATACACAGAGACCCACAGAGATACATCGAGACCCACAGAGATACATCGAGGCCCACAGAGATACACAGACACCCACAGAGATACATCGAGATCCACAGAGATACATCGAGACCCACAGAGATACATAGAGACCCACAGAGATACATAGAGACCCACAGAGATACACAGAGACCCACAGAGATACATCGAGACCCACAGAGATACATTGAGACCCACAGAGATACATAGAGACCCACAGAGACCCACAGAGATACACAGAGACCCACAGAGATACACAGAGACCCACAGAGATACATCGAGACCCACAGAGATACATCGAGGCCCACAGAGATACACAGACACCCACAGAGATACATCGAGATCCACAGAGATACATCGAGACCCACAGAGATACATAGAGACCCACAGAGATACACAGAGACCCACAGAGATACACAGAGACCCACAGAGATACACAGAGACCCACAGAGATACATCGAGACCCACAGAGATACATCGAGGCCCACAGAGATACACAGACACCCACAGAGATACATCGAGATCCACAGAGATACATCGAGACCCACAGAGATACATAGAGACCCACAGAGATACATATAGACCCACAGAGATACACAGAGACCCACAGAGATACATCGAGACCCACAGAGATACATCGAGACCCACAGAGATACATCGAGACCCACAGAGATGCATCGAGGCCCACAGAGATACATAGATTCCGCATACCTGTCAACCCATACGGTTTACTCCGTATTCTTGTACAGGGAAATTGAGTTCTCAGGTCCATACGGCGTACAGCCGTTTCAATGGGGACAAAAACACGTTGTCTATGTGTTTGTATTTCTCGCTTGTGATGGGACTTTGTAGGAACAACGTTGAGATGTAGAAGGGGCACGGGGAGACCAATGAGGGCTGAATTTGTCTGTAATAAGGTAGGGGCACTGATCAGGAATTCAGAGGTATTCAATATAACAAGATACATTATTTACGAATTCCGTAAAAAAAATATTCCAAGAGCCGCCAATGCTTGTGGTAAATTCGAGACGCTGGGCTCTTAATGAAGCCACGAAGCAGTCATTAAAGTGCCGCAAGTTGCGGTCCTCGCTCATCCACAGGTGCGCGTGTGGACAGGGCTGAAGGTCAGCACCCTTTATTATTGTACACTCACTCGCTGTTTCTCAAACAACGCATGGTCGATTTACCCTCTTTACGCCCCATCACTATTTATCAACAATTCCACCCACGTACAGAGAGCCCCCGCGTTTAGCCTTAACAGACTGTAGGGGCAAGTGCTGTTAGCGAGCACCATACTTATTTGAGGCTGAGTCGACCTAGGGGAGGCCCAGGACCGGTTCAGATAATCGTCACTGGTGTTGGTCGTGAGCGAGGATCGAACCCGGGTCGCCGGGTTCATAGCGCAGCGCGCTAACCACTACACCACCGCCCCCCACACACACTGGCACATACGCAGGTATGTCTAAACATTCACAGCAATGACGCTACAAACTACAATAACCTTGACACGTGAGGGCACAAGTACTGTTTCGCTTCCATGACGAACTTAAACGATTTGGGTGCCTCCGGTGGCAAGATGTTATTTGCCTCGCCTGGTATGCAGGAGATCGTGGGTTCCATCCCGACCCTGACGATGCCTGCTGTATATTTGAAGTGTTATTTCTTTCCCTCTGGTCGTGTGGATTTTTCTCTGGGTCCTCTGGTTTTTTCCTCCACGTTTAGAAAGATGCCTGTTACACTATTTGGCTGCTGTACATTTCCACGCGATAAGCCACTAAGTTGACCTATCATTTGTGGCCAGGTTGCTTCTGAAAAAGAGCGATTTAGCTCCATGGGCCTTACCTGGTAAAATAAAATAAAATGTTTGGTTTTGGTGTAAACACTGGAGGGTACCATAATGTGACCGCCCCTCTCATTAATACGCCGGCTCCAAATTCCCCCATCAAGCTCTGCGCATCCTCTTTGTATGAAGGCATTGTGGGCTGATTAGCGTGGGAGGAAACCGGAGAAAACTGAACGCGAGCGAGGAGCACACAAGTTATCCAATGCAGGTGGAACAGATGGAAATGATTCCATACTGCCGTCCTGACGAGCCTGGGTAGAGGGCACCTCGATGCCCACAGGAGGTGGAGATTCACGGGATTTGTGCGTTTCACGAAACCTTTCCCTAAGGCCACGTTCATCGCCTCCCACCGCCACCTGGCACAAAGCAAACCAGAAGTGAATTCTGCCCTTTTTGGTCAGAATTAGTGACATACTCTGACACTGCAAGGCACTTCCTTGTACAGTTCATGTAAATTATTCTTTGATGAGTATTTGCAATGTTTGGCGCCTGTTATACAGCAACATAAACCCCAAAGTTATGTGTAATATTAACCAAAGTGCCAAATTGCTGTTTGGCATGCGAAAATAGTTAATTATAGGTGTAATGTTCGGACTTTGTCTTCAATACTCCCTAATTAATACTCGTTTATGAAATATCATTGCTCCAAGTTAGTTTAATGTGCACTTCACAGCATTATATTGCCTTAGCTGCACTGGTCACCAAAATTTACACCTAACCCCAAATCCACCCTTCACTCGTGAAACATCGTATTGTCTGCCTGGCGCATGACATTAACGAGCAGCGTGGAGACATGAACAACAAACAAGTCGGCATTGGCATGCTGTGTTTACTTTTCAGCTTCGGCAGTGTGATTTTCAACTTTTTTCACTCATTTTTGGGAGTCCTGCAAACAATCTCCATGATACGCACGCCGCATTATATTAGCTCACTTCGTTTCACATCTGTCTACCTAGTACAGTCGTGCAGTATATATAATTGGGAACACCACAGGTACTCCGTCGACAGATCACATGTAATGGGATAAAGTGTGGTCATACCAAACTCCTCCAGGATGTCTGACCATCATAGAATAGTAGGCCAAATATCAGCTGTCAAGTTCCCTGTAGTCGGGGCTCTTCCGGCAGCATCGGCGTGAGCAAGTAATTGCAAAGATGCCCCATTGCTACAAATATGCCCCATTGCACCTATTTTAAGTATAATATTTAAAAAAAATCGATTTGGCCAGGTTCGGCCCACTGAGCTGTATAACCCTTTCTAAGGAACGACCTGGCCGCAAATGATAGCTCGACGAAGTGGCTTATCACTTGAAAATGTTTAGCAGCAAATGTTCTACGTATTAGACTGTAATAGATGTGGGCTGTGGTCTCTTTCTCTGCAGGCTGGGCCCCTGTGCAAGGTGGTGATCCCAAAGAGTAAGCCTGGCGTGCGTAGTCTGAAAGCGTTCGTCACGTTCAAGCACGTGGAGTCGACCCCGTATGCGCTGGCTATGCTTCACGGCATCTTGCTGTTTGGAAAACCCCTGCAGCTGAAATTCTACCGAGGCAAGTGTCAGGGCTGCTCCCTGCTTTCTCAAGCACAACATCAAGGCCTCATGCACACCGTATTAAAGGAAAACTCATTCGTTGCTGTGAAGCATTATGGGTAGAAGCAAATCTAAGCAAAACCCAGTTCTGTCTACTCATTAAAAAAACAGTATGGTAGTCTATCAGACCATTGGCATTCCAGACCAGTCGAGGTATTCCGAGATTTACGAACGTTCGGTTTACGAAATTTTGCGTAAACGGAATTGACAAATTATGGACACTTTTCGATTAACGGAATCGAATTTCCACATTAACGAAGTTTCAGACGGCACACGCCATGAGATCAAACAGGAAGGCTGCATCATCAATCCGCGACAGCATCACGGTATCACTACAGTGCAACATTAACGCCTCTCCAGTCTTTTGGTGAGTTCCCTGAAAATGTTTATTCTTTTTTTTTTACGTAAAATTATTCATTAGTCATTTCAATATTTATGTTCTTTATTTTTATTTTGTTTCTCTTGTGAAAAGTGATATCGGTGTATGTTTTTAGGCTAGTAGTAGAGTTGGAATGACTGTCCAAAACACACTTCAATTTCGGAAAAAAAATTTGCACGCGTGTTTTTGGAGAACTTGTCCCTTTCGTAAATCGAGGGTTAGCTGCAGTATCAATTAGGATTAGTGGTGGCTCTTCGTCTTGACAGGCGTATCGCCGTGTGAACCACACAGTGCCGAAGCCCCTGCTGGTCTGCCCGGAGTTGAGTGGTGGCATGCTTGAATATACTAACATCACGAATTGACCAATGTATACAAAAACACATTTTCTGACGCGATTTTTCACGTGAAAAAACAGAAGTGCTCGTTCTCTGTTGTCAGGTGACAGAGAATTTACATCTGTAGTTTTTATGTGGTATCACTGTAATGAGCACCTGGGGAAAGGGGATGTCTCTGGCACATTGAGTCAACCTCAAGGCCTTCCTACGGGGTTCTCAATGTTGCATGGCTCTCGTGTCGAGCGAGACTCCTGATTTTGGTGCCAAGTTCCTTAACAATAGAACAGATATACTCAAACAACCAATAATTAATCATTCATAATTTTCTTCATCATTTTTATTAGTATGAGATGACATAATATGTTTGAGACAAATGAGTATTTAATCAGGCTTAGTGCGGCCTGGAAGCGTATTATTAAATAAATATAATATAAAAAACAATTACAATTCCTTATAAGGGAAACAAATACCAATGAATAACAATCGAATGATTACCAATCTATATAATTACAATACCCTCCCCGCCTCAAATCACTGCACCTTATTGAATTAAATGATGACGTCACCCTGCTGCTGCTCTATTTAAGACCGGGAGCAAGTGGAGAGCTTTACCATTCTGGCAAATCGCCCGATGAAGCTGGATGTTTTACCAGCGAAACGTCACTCAAATTTTAAATGATGTTGATTCTTTCTTCAACACACCGGTGGGCTAAAGAAGTGAATTATTTTGTCTTTTGTAAACGTGACACATTTTTTACTGTTTGGCCGTGTCGGGTGGTGGAGGTTTACGACACATTTATAAATAACGCGATCTAACCCAAAAACCTTTATTATGGTATATCCACGACAACACTCCTTGAAATTATAAATACTCTACTGTAGTGTACCCTGCAAAGGGTGGCTGAGTAGCAAAGAAGTTAACAACCTTGTTAAAACATTTAGTGTTCACTGCTAAGAATGTTATATCCTAGCTCCGTGGTGATGCATTGGTGAAGACGCCAAACAAGAATATCATCTTATAATCTGTGCGGTCTTAAAAGGTTGTATGACGTCGCTTCTCAATAGTAGAATGGAAAAAGGTAAAGGTGCAGTATTGAAATGACTCTCTCGAATAAAAAAAAGAACATGATTCATCATTTAAAATCGACTTACACTCACGGGAAGGCATCAAAGCCTTTGCGTCAGAACCTATCGGTGGCAATGTATATGTAAAGTAGTAACTCGGCAGGAGACGACTTCACGGGTAGCACACTCTTTATTTTCACCAACTTGTAGTTACACGGATGACTAACACCCTACTTCGTTACACGGGTGACCAACACCCACTTAGCTACACGGGTGACGGACACCCACTCAGCTACGACTTCGTTACACGGGTGACCAACACCCACTTAGCTACACGGGTGACGGACACCCACTCAGCTACGACTTCGTTACACGGGTGACCAACACCCACTTAGCTACACGGGTGACGGACACCCACTCAGCTACACGGGTGACCAACACCCACTCAGCTACACGGGTGACCAACACCCACTTAGCTGTACTGACACGGGCTCTTACGCCCTGTAGCCTTCCGGGACACACCCAGCCGGGGTGCCCGTCTCGGCTCTGGGTACCACCGTCCCGACCCACACGGGCGTCGGACTACGGTCCCCCCAGTCTCGGCTCCGAGCCACACAGGGCCCCTACCTCCTCCACCCCGTCTTCGGTCTTCAACTGGTTAACACTGACCACGAGTGCTCTCGCGCGTCCCCCTTTATACCCCTCCTGCGGACGTCGCTGAGAGTACTCACTTATCTGACCAATCACTGCGCACTCGCTACGATCCTCTTTTCCCAGCTTGTGTGAGCGCGCCTCACCACCGGCGCGCGCGTCCATGCCACGCCCACACCGCGTGCCCAACCCCGCGCCCCGTGATCCATCACTGCCGGCGCACGTCAATACCACCACTACATCACCCCCTACCACATAGCTCGCAGCCGACCCGGCTGCTAATAAAACATACAACACCCCTTCACCCCCACGTGTGCCCCGTAACATAACACAAACCCTAACAACACAACATGAACACCGCAATCCGCAAAACCCAGCAACCGCCACACCCGCAACAAGAACAACATGCACAATCCGGCGAATGGCAACGATACTGTGTATGCGGAAAGAGTAACAATAAAAAAAATTTCTTTAATCATTTTCTCTTCTTTTCTCTCCGACTCATGCAGCGTCCCAATGTCCGAGCGTCCCTTAAACGGGACATTACCCCGGCAGAGGGGGAAGCCGGCAACGAAGTCGGGCTTTAACAAAAAAAGAATTTTTTTTTTTTTTTTCATGAAAAGTGTTGCGTCCTTGACCGAGTCCGCCTTGCCGGACCGTCGTACGGCACAGGACGCAGTTGGCCATCCGGCGGCGCCGGCAGTTCAGGAGGGCATGGGCCAGGCATCGGGGCTCCGTGCGAGCCGCGGGGTTCCGGTTCCCGACGGTCAACAGCCGTCAGGTCCGAGACACCTGGGGGTGGGTCAGGTGGAGACACGTGAGGATCAGCCTGCGACACATCCCTCCCCGAGTCGACGGTCACATCACACGCTCGGTCGTCACGGCACAACCCGGGGTCACGCGGCGCCGCGTAGGGTTTCAGTCGGGAGGAGTGCACGTACCAACGGCGTTTTCCCCATTTAATCTGTATACTCTGGGGTCGTGCAACCCGCACAATTTCCACCGGTCCCCTCCATGGTCTCAACAGTTTGGGGGACGTAGCCAACGGTGCGTGTGGACAATGCAGCCAGGCCTTATCGCCCGGTTCCCAATTGTGCGTATGCACCTTCCGTTCACGCAATCGCTCGTTCGCGATCTGCCGAGAGCGTGAATTCAATCTCGCAGCCTCTCGCGCCTCAGCCAATTTGGCGATGTTAAACTTAATGTGGTCTGCCAATTTTGATTTCGCACGTGGCTGTGAAATCCCCAGTTGGACGTCCATGGCCGGATCAGCCTCCCGCCCATACATCAGAAAAAATGGAGAAAACCCCGTCGCCGCATGGGGTGCCATCCGATAGGCCGCTAGTACCCCCGGTACCTGTAAGTCCCAATCCACCTGGTCGTCGCATACCTGTTGGCACAGCATAGACGTAATCGTCCTGTTCAGACGTTCAACCATACCGTCAGTCTGCGGGTGGTACGGGGAGGTACGTACTTTCTTTGTACCCAACAGGTCGCACACCTCGCGCAACAAAACACTCGAAAAGTTTTTCCCTTGATCCGTCAGCAAGCGTTCGGGGGCGCCTTTGTCCAAAACGTAACCTTGGACAAAGGCGTCCGCCACTGCCGCAGCCGACTGGTTGGCGAGTGGCCACGCCATGGGCCAGCGGGTGAAGTACTCTACGCCAACCAGCAGGAACTTATTTCCCCGAGGTGTAGTGGGAAAGGGCCCCAAGATGTCTAGCGCGACCAATTCGTTCGTGCGCGAAACTTGAATGGATTGAAGCGGTGGATTAGCCGCTATTTGTGGCGGTTTTCTTTTAGCGCACCCTACACACCCCTTAAGAATGTTCGCCATGTCACTGCCCATCCCAGGCCAATAGTAGTCTCGCTGAATGAGGGCGAGCGTTTTATGAAACCCCAGATGCATGAGTCGTTCATGGGCAGCCAGGACGACCTTACCCCGTACAGCAACCGGCACCACAAGCATGTGACGCCGGGACATGGAGTCCCACTTCATCAAGAGGCCCTGTCTGCACACCCAGGAACCGACCCGCGTTTCCCCGCCCTCGGGAACGTTAACCTTCCGACGTAGCGCGAGTAGGGAGCTGTCGGCCATTTGCAGACGGCCCCACTCGATGAGAGGCAATGCTAACAGCGAGTCCCTCCCCGTGGGGGCGTCGACCCCCGTAGTATCCGTGGCGGCTAGCACCACTTCCGCGGGGACATCGACAGAAGGTTTACACCGCGCCGATCCCAACTGACATGCGCATTCCGTACGCGTCGGCAACCGTGACAATGCATCCGCGTTCGAGTGGCGCAACCCCTTGCGGTAAATCGTCGTGAATTGGTAGTCCTGAAGGACCTCCAACCATCGGGACAATTGGCCGGATGGCTGCGCCACCCGCATAGCGTATTGGAGAGCCGCATGGTCCGTGCGAACCGTAAAGTGACGGCCATACAGATACGGCCTGAATTGCTGTATAAAAAACACAATCGCCAGCAATTCACGCCGTGTCACGCAGTAGCGTTGTTCCGCGGGGGACAGAACCCT